AATTCTGAATTTGATTGTAATTACTTCAAATTTTTTGAAAAAATATAATTTTAATACACATTATCAGAATTTTAAATAGGATAAAAAGCCTTTGGTAAGGTGCTTGTGATGATGGGTGATGTGCCCCAAGTCGGGACCCCACCATAGCTGAGTGTTGAGAGCCCTTTTCTTAGTCCCTCTTTCTCAGCTGAATCTTGAGTTACCTGTTTTCAGACATTCCACTAAGATCATTTCATTTTTGTATTTCAGTTCCCTTTTTTGAAAGTAAAAAATAGAGAAAAAAATATTCTTGAGTTAAATCTATATTAAAACACTAAATAGTCTATTGTATTATTTATCACATGTATGTATATTATATATATTATTTAATACTAGCATTAGTATTGTTACCCATGCAGTAATGCTTGGCTGTACATTCATTATGATATATAATTTTCCTCTTCTCTTCCCCCCCTAATTTTTATGTAAATTATATGAATTTACACATAGGAATGTAAAGATGTGATTAGTCAATTGTAATCACATTATTTTTGACTTTTCCATTTAATATGCTTTGGAGATTTGTATAATACCTTGAGCCCATCCTTTTTAATACTGCCTTATATTCCATAGTATGAATGTATCATAATTTATTAAATCTCTGTACTATTGATGGCCAGTAAGATCTTGTGAGCTTATGATTTTATTACAAGATCTTAGATTTTCAGGTCAGGCCATAAGAAGTGAGTAGTGACTTTACTAACTGGTTTTCACCTCCTCATCTGCCTCCTTACATTTACTTACTACCTACATCATCTGTTTCTTTACTTACGCAGATATTCCAACAGGTAAGAGCCTAGATTCAGCTGTAGCTTTTGAGAGATTATGCTGCTTTTTATAAGCCAGTATTTAAATTTTGGGTTTTTTTTTTTACATTTCTGTTGACTTTAAATTCTCAGGAAAAAAGTGAAAATATTTTAAGTTCACAAACACAATATAACCTGATTAAGAATATAGCTTAGTTAAAAAGTTATCTTTTCTCAATTTCATCATGCAGAGGTCTGGGAATTTAAGTAATTCAAGAAGGCAATGCATCTATGGTTCTGTTTAAGGAATGGTGCATGAGGATTCTAATGCCTAAAATTCTCACATTATTTGTTCCTCTGGGTTGAGTATCTTTAAAATGCCTGTTAAGATTCATATTGAAGATGAATAATTAAGCAAACTTTTAATGGAGACAGAGAAATTGCTAAAAGCTTTGAAACACAGAGGGTCCCCAAACACTGGCAAGTCCTAAAAGATGTCAGCAGTTGAGTGTATAGTTAGAAATCTGAGCTGCTCCATTTCCTGCTCATCTGCATCTGAGCTGTACACACTTGCTTTTTACTCAGGGTGACTTTAATGCTTTATCAAAGGTCATGTAAGTATGGCCAGGCTACCTCCACTATAAAAAGTGGCAGTTCTTCTCAATCCATTGCTCTTACAGTTTCCAGGAGTGATACAGCTTTCTCTGACTCCTCACATATGTAGGTGCACATACCCACAACACTTACACACACACACAGCTAAGAAGTTGCCTCAGGCCCTCCAGTAGGTCCAGACTGATCTCAAGTAAACTTCATACTCACAGGTTACACAGCCTGTTACATGCAGTTAGGAAAAACGTTTTGTTTGAAGAATCTAATTTCATGGCACAGTCATCTTAGCTTGCTTGCACTCTGTGGAGTCCTAGGCCATCTCTATAAGAACATAATCACAGATGGAGGCTTAAATAAAAAAAGTCTACTTAGATGCAGCTGATGTGTGGCAGAGCAATTTAGGCAAATGATCCAAACTTTGTCAGTTGCAAAATGGGTTATGACTCTGAGAATTCAGACTTTTTTAAATAAGCCAAATTGTGGAAAGGGAAATATATCTGCTCTGTATGGAAAACTTTTATTTTCTGTCAATTGCTGAATAAATGAAAACTTAGCCAGAATATTTTTCTGAGCAAACTCTTTGGGTCTTTGCTGTTTGTCCATACCAACCTTCCTTCCTTTCTTTCTTTTACTTACTTACTCACTCACTCACTTACTTTTTTCCCTTCGCTAGGGACTTAGTATTTAGGTTTGGACAGAGGAAAGGGGAAGGAGATAGTTAGGAAACAAAAAGGACCAAAATTCCAGTTCCATTTTTGATCTGGATTGAACTGTATTTCTCTCCTAACTGACAGTTTGTTCAGTGCTCCCATCTCAGAGTTAGATGGTTCATCCTTAAAATGAGCTGTCACTGAGCCAGTTCCCTAACATCCGGGCTACCACTGTACACATTTCTGTTTGGCATAAGCCATGATCTCAGCCCTGCATATCTGATTAAGGAGCAGACATGTTCATAGTTAAGGGATGGTAGGACATGTGCTGTTCTATCTGAGGTAAGAAGGGAGGCTTATGTGAGTAGCAAACAACTAAAATAAAACCAACACCACTCCCTGAAGTTTGGGAATTTTCCTTTTATTTTGTAACAGGTTAAACCACCCCAATTACATAAACCCAAAAGTCATACTTCTTGTTCTTTTCCCTCTTCTCCCCTCCTCACTTCCATTTCCCATCCCTCAGAACCAGTGCTAATAGCCTAGAATGTTCAATTCTCTTACAAAAATAATACAAATGTGATCACATTTTCCCCTAGAAAGGATCACACTGTGCATATTGCTCTGCACCTTGCTTCTCCTCACTTTATACACTCCACACGTCAGTCACCACCTGCCTGGCGCCCTCCTTCCCTCAGACCTCTCTTCTAATATCACCCCTCAGAAAGGTGTTTCTGGACCATACCTCTTAAATAAGAACCTCTGCTGCCCATGTCCACTCTCTGGTCACATTCTGTTTCCTCCCCTCAATTTTTGTCTTCATATTTGTTCAGCAGTGTATGTCCTGCCACCGATAGAATGTAACCTCCGTGTGAGCAGTGACTTTAGTTTGTTCTCTGTTGTATCCCCAGTGACTAGGCCAAATACTGCACATAGTGGGCCCTCAGAGAATAGTTGGTAAGCGAATGCATCAGAATCATCCTATTTACTAGCTGCAGGAATGTCTAGAGTGTGGATGCATCCTGACTTACCTAACTATTCCCTTACTGATGGGCATGCAAGCTCTTCATGCTTTAGTCATTCTAAGCAGTGCAACTTTGCATGTGTTAGTCAGAGAGATGCCAGAAGTGGAACTGCTGGCTCCCAAGACAGGTGCATTTTCAGTTTAAGTAGGTGATGCCCAATTACGTTGTCAAAGATTATTGCCATTCACCCCCCACCTGCAATGACTGAAAGCACCTGTCTTCCCAAAACATTCTCTGTACAAGATGTTACCAGTATTTAATCCTACCAAGAGGTGGGTGTAGAGGGAGATACCGTTTAATTATCGAGTTTGAGCATTTTATTGTATGTTTTTTAGCCATTTTTCAGCCTCTGTGGTTTGGCTGTTTATAACATTTTGCCATTTCCTATTGGCTTGTCTGTTATCTCTGTAACAGATGTTGGCCCTGTTGGTATGGTGGAGGCTGAGCTGTGTGTGGCTGTCCTCTCTCTCAATCTGCCTTTTGTCTTCCAAGTTTAATCTCTTGTCACACACACTTTACATTTTCATATAGCCAAGGCTTCTGGGCTTCCAATTTTAAGTAGGAAAATTTGTCCTAACCAAGGCTAAAACATATTCTCTTGTTTCCTTGTAATATTTTTATTTTTTTAAGTAGTTTAAGTCTCTTGTCCAGTTTGAATTTTTATTTATGATTTAGCTTTGTTCTTTCAAGTAGAATTTCAATTGTGTCAACACTACCTTTTAAAATAAACTATCTTTCCCCCACTGATATGAAGTTTAATATATGACTTTGACTTAAATATATTCATTAAAAGATAATATATATGTAAGTAAATATATTGGACTTACATTATACTATGTATGTGTGTATATATATATATTTGTGTGTGTGTGTACACATATATAAATTGCAATCTATTTCTTGGTTCTCTGTTGCCTTCCTGAGCTATTTGTCTATTCTTATATATCTGTTTCTTAGATGTTTATGTCTCTCTATATAACTGTTATGATACTTCTAGGTAAGTTTTAAAATCTTATAAGGTGAATTTTCACTCATAAATCTGTATTTCCAAAATACTCTTGGCAAGTCTCAAATACTTATTTCATATGATTTTTAAAATCACTTATTTCAATTAAACCTACCATAATTCTGCATATAGTCTGGCTTTTAAAAGAAGACCTGCCTGGCTGCACTCTGGGGCATGGACTGGCATAAGGGGTGGTGAGTGGCAGGGAGCTGATGAGGAGGCAGGCTCAGTAGTCTAGGCAGGCTCTAACAGGGCCTGAATAAGGAGTGGCAAGAGAGCAAGCCATTCCAAAATAGAATCCCCGGACTCTGACTTTTAGGTATGAAGTACAAAGAAATTGAGTCAAAGGAATTAGACTACAAGACTGGGCAAACCCCCTTCTCAGAGTTAGGACTACGAGGGAAGGAGGAATAGATTTGGAGATGGACAGAGAGGAAGATGTGTCCATTTGTAGATAGGCTGAGTTTGATGTATGAGGGCCAACAGTGGGCATACAGAAATTGGTAATGATATTAACCATTTGGGTAATATAAAAATATTTTAAAGAGGTTTTCAAGTAAAGTTCCAGAACTTTTCAGATATACTTATGTCCTTATTCACTTTCTTGTGAGCTCCTACTCTTTCCTTATTCCTACTTTTGGTGACTTGAAGGCAGAAGGAGGTATCATTTCTTGAAGAGTAGAAAGTTGTCCATATGTTTAGATATTTGTTCCTCTTCAGTAGAAATGTCTGTCTATAAATACTGTCTGTGAATATCTTTATAAAATTTTTGCAAAAGTTGATACTATTTTAAGGCAAATTTTTATAAAAACTGTTTAGGTGACTGAATGTAATTTTAACAATTAAAATTACCCAAGTTCGTCTCAAGGTATTGTGTAGAAAGGCTTATTCTAATGGCTTTTTCACTCATTTGTCTTTTCAGAACTTGATAGCCCAGAAGAGTTAGGGAAAAAGCGTATCTGCAGGATTATCACTAAGGATTTCCCCCAGTATTTTGCAGTGGTTTCCCGGATTAAGCAGGAAAGCAACCAGATCGGTCCTGAAGGTGGAATTCTGAGCAGCACCACTGTGCCCCTCGTCCAGGCCTCTTTCCCAGAGGGTGCTTTAACCAAAAGAATCCGAGTGGGCCTCCAGGTAATGTTCACAAAGAGTTGTTTTCTTTGGTTCATGTAGAAAGCATGTGAGCATATTCCACTCTCGATAATTGTTGTCATAATTCATCCTAATGACATTGCTAATCAAAGCATTAGGTCATCTTGGGAATGATTAACCCTTTTTCAAATAAAAAGCCTTAAGAATCAAGTTAATTTAGTGGCTTATTAAATAAGGAACACATTTTAGGGTTTTTTTGCTTAAAAGTTGATTTTTGATCACTTGGTTTCTGATGAAAGATCTTTTTTTTTTAACCATAGATTATTGGTCTCAGTATGTGTAGCAGCAAAAGCATCAAAAAGAAACAATCCATATTTTATTTGGTTTATAATGTGGCACATCATAAAAATCAGTAATAGTGAAATGTACAAGCTTTCAAATTTTGGCTTGATTTAAGTAAACCATAAATACTGAGTTTTATCCAGACCAGTTGGAACTTGGTTTGGAAAACTAACTGAAAATGTTGGCAAGAATGGTCTTTCTTACATTTATTTATTTCAGTTAGACCTTAACCAATACTTTTTTTTTACTTCCTGAATAAGGAAAATAACCTGAAGCCACTTTCTTTGTGTTAATTAATATAGTAATTAACAGTTTAATGAAAAGTTATGTTCTTTTTGTGAGACTGGCCTCTCATGTCCAAGAAGTTGGGTTTCTCAGAGTCAAGCACTCCACAGTCTTAGGAAGGCCTTCAGAAAACACATGGAGCTAAAGAAACCACCTTCCATTTCAGTGGTGTGAAGTTCCCTTCAGCCATCTCCCATACTAACTACTGTACCAAATGGTAAAGAAACCATACGGAAGAAGTTAGGCTTAGTAGACTAGAATGGAAATCCTCTGAAATCTTGAACACCTTTTTTTTTTTTTAACCTAACTGAAAACTTCAAGTTTTACATGGGTACAGGTTGCTTTTATAATGTTTTACCGAATGTTCTGCATAAGTTTAAAACACACTGAACTCAATATTTGTTGCCCTTTACTTGGGATTAGACTAAGAGGCTTCTCTGCTGTGAGATCTGATTTCCTATTTCAGACAAGGCCATGCTGTCTGTGTTCTTCTGGGGAAATAGTTGGGCTCACTAGTTCAGGTTACAGTGTTAGGCTATTTTGGGTTTTGTTTATTTGTTTTTTAACACCTTCCTGAAATAGAAAGGCTGAAGAAGAAAGACTTTTCTTTGTTGTTCTTATTGTCTAGTTTTGTGTATTTTTCCTCCTCACTTAAAAAGTCAACTTTTTAATGAAAGAAAAATGTCCACTTTCATTTAAGATCTTTTCTTCATCTCTAGGCCCAACCTGTTCCAGATGAAATTGTGAAAAAGATCCTTGGAAACAAAGCAACATTTAGCCCGATCGTCACTGTGGAACCAAGGAGGAGGAAATTCCATAAACCCATCACAATGACCATACCGGTACCCCCACCCTCAGGAGAAGGTGTAGCCAATGGGTACAAAGGGGACACCACTCCCAATCTGCGCCTTCTCTGCAGCATCACAGGTTTGGTTAAGTTGTTTCTGTGTTTGCTATTGATGCTAGCATGTCTGTACGAAGATATAAGTCCATGAAACATCCATGCCAACATTTTAAGACTAGAAAAAAAAAAATTACTTCTCTGTCACCTCATCTCTATTATCCCTGTAATCATTTCCTTAACATGGTGATATCATGACTCATTTAAAATTCAGTGATATCATTTTTTCCTGCTATTAAGTGTAGTAACAATAGCACCCTTTTAAGGTTACTGAAGTCCTGTTGAATCTACTTGAGCACCTAGGTAATCTCTCTGACCTAGACAGAGGTTGCAGACCTATCAACACCCTTAGATACCAGGAAATTGGATGGACTTTGGCGAAAACATTGCTTCCACCACAGCCCCAGGAGGAAAGAAAAGCAGAGTACATGATTATTCTCATCTACTTTACTCACCAGTGTAATCCAATAGATGAAATATGCAAGACTTAAGAGAACACATTTTGTGATAAGCCTCTGGAATCCAGAGTTCAATTTACCATTTGATAAACCTAACAGGATTTTTAACTGAAAGCCCAAGATTAAGATAGGTTGTTTTTTGGTTTTGTTTTGTTTTAAGCATATTTTTAATGATTGATTTCCCCTTTTACCTTGGAAAGTTAAATGACTCAGGCAGGACAGAATGAGCTGCTTGACTTTCTTGATATTCTTACCTTTTTAAGAAATAAAAAATAAAGGAAGTATATTGTTTATTTGAAATAACAAATCTCTGCACTTATAATATTTACTTATAACTTGTGGTTGCTCCAAGTTTAAACCATCCATTAGTACCCCAACAGAAAGGTAATTTTGAAAAATCTAGTATCTTACAAGGAGATAACTGTAAACTAGTAAAAGGAGAACAGAAAGAAGAACTACCTTTAGTACATGTCATTAATTGAAAGTTGAAGTTGTACAAAACATTGGTATGCAGGAAGATAGGATGACAGTGAAAATTTTACAAGAAGCTTCTCCCTATAATAGAGTCACCATATCTGCTGTTGTTTCCCCAGGGGGCACCTCACCTGCTCAGTGGGAAGACATCACCGGAACTACTCCTTTGACATTTATAAAGGATTGTGTCTCTTTTACAACCAATGTTTCAGCCAGGTATGGAAATAAAGGATTGCAAAGGCATTAATAAGAAGTTCTTAGTAATTCATAAAAACAGATAGGATTTTCCTTTCTCTCCCACTGTCTCCCATAAAAATTCTTGCTCCTTCCAATGGTAAAATAATAGATTAAATTTTTAAGCAGGAATAGAAAGGAAGGCTTATCGTGGATATATGTAAGAAGAACTTTACGGGAAAGAAAAGAGAAAAATATCCTTGGCATTTTCTTAGCAAAATTGTAGCAAATAATTAACTTAGAGTTCCTGTGTTTGATAAGAGTAAACATCTTTGCTCATTGTTTGAATGAACAAGTTAATGTTTTGTTCATTTCCCTTATATACTCCAATTTTTTTTAACGGTGGTCTTTTTTCAGGTTCAGATTTTAAGTCACCTCATTTTCATACTTCTTTTTGGTTTTGCTTTGTTTTGTTTTTGTTTCTGTTTTTCTCAGATTTTGGCTTGCAGACTGCCATCAAGTTTTAGAAACTGTGGGATTAGCCACACAACTGTACAGAGAATTAATATGTGTTCCATATATGGCCAAGTTTGTTGTTTTTGCCAAAATGAATGATCCTGTAGAATCCTCCCTGCGATGTTTCTGCATGACAGACGACAAAGTGGACAAAACTTTAGAGCAGCAAGAGAATTTTGAGGAAGTTGCAAGAAGCAAAGATATTGAGGTACCTTGTTCATAAGTTAATTCAGTTACATTCCCCAGATGGGATTTTATTCTGGCTATAATAGCACTCAACCGTAAATACCAAGGACATGACTGATTTCAGTTTTTGTTTGAAAAATCTGATATAGATTCATTCTCAAACTATTTTGTGTGTCTTTGAGGTTATCTTAGTTAAAAAGTGTAGTACTAATGAACCAAAGCCATAGCCTCCGCTGTCCTGTAGCTGCTGGAGTTATCTTATTTTCGTGATCACTGTCTGTGCTGCTCTACCACGACTTTCCTTTCTTAAACCTGTGTCTGTGAGTCAAAATAGCTTTCATAGGCTATGTTAAGTGATGGATGTCAGGAACTTCCTCAAACATGTTTAAAGTTGCTAGAACAAAAATAAATATGTAATTCTGCCTTGTGTGTTTTCTATCACAATTATGAATTGTGAGCCAACAGAGTTCTTTTTGTGGCAAATAGCACCATACGAGTAGTTTCCTAATAAGGAGACAAATGTCACACAGAAACATGTCAGTCTTTTAATATTACGTGACTTAAAATCTCAAAGTTCTTTGACTTACATTAACATTAAATTCTGTATTTTGTTTACTTTAAAGGTTCTGGAAGGAAAACCTATTTATGTTGATTGTTATGGAAATCTGGCCCCACTTACCAAAGGAGGGCAGCAACTTGTTTTTAACTTCTATGCTTTCAAAGAAAACAGATTGCCATTTTCCATCAAGGTAAACCATCTTCAAAGAGACTCTGAATTTTTTATTAATGAAATACAAAGAAATAAGAAATACAAAGAAAATATTCTAATGATTTACTTAGTTTGAATATACCACCAAACTGGAATTCACAGGCACAAGGTCAGATTCTATCCTAGTTCTTCCCAAGTGTGCTTTTGAGCCAGGAAAGCTTTATAATTAATAGAATCCTTACCTTTTCAACAGCTAAATGATTGTTTATGTTGAAGCAATGTTTTTAAGATAAAACAGTCTAGAATAATAAAATGTGTCATACCTGATTAATGCTCAGTAATCAAACCGTGGTTGAAATCCAGATTCAGTATGCAAGCGTCATCTTCATCTCTGATGGAGCCCAAGACGTTCTGAGAGACCATCTTCCTCCCCAGAGAACTGAAGGACATAGGATGGGGTTTTATTATTGTTGCTGTTGTTGATAAAACTGATGCTTTGAGGAAAAAAAATTATTAGCCAGGAAGAAAATGCCTATAACTGAGACTATGGATTGTCAGGATTGGGCAAACAGACACAGCAATCCTGCATTGAAGCCAGGAGTTGGGCATTCTAAATCTTGCTGAGTTTAAATGTGACCACCTTGATTGACATGTAACTGTTATCATCTTTTACTTTTCCTGCCTTTCGAAGGGCTCCATAAAACAAGCATACTTAACTCATATACAGACAGGAATCCTTTGAAAAGTCTCTTTCTGTAACTGTCAACTACCGAAATTCTTCTAGATTAGAGACACCAGCCAAGAGCCCTGTGGTCGTCTGTCTTTTCTGAAAGAACCAAAGACAACAAAAGGACTGCCTCAAACAGCTGTTTGCAACTTAAATATCACTCTGCCAGCACATAAAAAGGTATTTTTAAATACTGGTTTATTTTAACTTTCTTTCTCTGATCTTGAAGAAGTGTGGGCCCTTGATATACAATTAAGGAATGCTTTGTAACATGATTAAAGCTCTTGAAACAAGTTTTTAGTAGTCTTTTTGTGTAGATTAATTAAGTCTCGTTACGTGCTGTTAAAATCTTACGGTTTTTTGTATAATGGAGTCTTCTGTATATTGCTTCTGCTTCTGGTAGTTCACAGATTTTTATGCTTTCAGTAATGTCACACATTAATTTGCCATGAATGTACAGGTCTTGATATTTTTTGTTGGCTTCTTTTGATTTGCTTTGCTTTCTTTTAAATCAGCCTGCATTTTTGTGCTCCCTACTCAGTCCTTTTCATATCCTGATATTCTTTTCCCTGCTGTCCATTATAATATTCCTTGTCTCTGCAATGCATCTTGGAATCAAAAGGAGACAGAGTCAGATCAAGATGATGAGGTAATATGAACACTTCTGCTTTTACTCTATCAAACATAGAATAGAAATTGAATCTCTGTATATAAAAGAAGTTGCAGAGGGTTGAAGTGTGGGAAATGTATACTTTTGCAGATCTTAGCTTAAGTGAGATAAAGAGTATATATTAATGGTTCCATCTTCTTACACATATACATAAGAGGACTTGAGTACATTCAGTAAGATTATAATTCAGCTAATGATGTTTTTAAAAGGAACTAAAGTTCTTTAAACATTTTAAAATGTGGTAGATTGGCATGTATAAATATACATTTGTACATATTTTAACCTAGTATCCACTGTGTTACAGCTTTTAAATCAAGATCATGGGTAGTATATGAAATTTTATTGTACAAATCAACACTTGCTTCACTTAATAAAAAAATATATGCTTAATGGCTATTGATAAATGTTTGATATTCGACTTTAAGAAATTGGCCATTTTTTAAGGACGTAGTTGACAAATAAGTTTTGAATGAATTTTTCCTTTTGTCTTCTAATATTTCTCCAAACTATATAACTGGATTTTTAAAACTCACACCTCAGTAATGTTGAGAAGAATCAACAACCTTAAGACTCAGTAATATTATTTCAGATAAAACCATTAACTTGTTTTTAATTTCCTCATTTATACTTTATACCTATTAACATATATAAACAACTGCAATAATTAGAATAAACTTTGTGTGCCCTTTTCTCCTTGAATGTACTCACATACAGTGAGTGTACATTGTGATATATGTGCTTTCAATATGAATGAATTTGGGAAAATTGACTGCTCAGCCTCAGAAGTCTCTGTAATGCTTGTCTTTTATTTGTAGTTCCCTGTAGTCTGCTGTGTTGGTGCTCTTATATTTGCTAAACAATGGTTATTTGGTTGAGACCATGGGGTGGGCTTGTAGAATCACAATAGAAATAACATTTTCATAAGAAAAATCCATAGGAAGAAAAATATGGATAAACAAGATACCAACATGCCATCCTACAAAATGTTTCGAAACAATGAAAATGTCATAAGAAAGCTGGACATAGTCTTTCCTTTTTTTGTTTGTTTGTTTGTTTGTTTTCTTTTTCAGACCGAGAAGACAGATAGAAGACAGAGCTTTGCATCTTTAGCTTTACGTAAGCGCTACAGCTACTTGACTGAGCCTGGAATGAGTGAGTTTTCTTAACACATTTACTAATCTTTGTGGGTTTTTATAAGAAGAGACATTTTTTTCTATACATTTGGGGATCATTTGAAAACTTAATGGCAAAAGAAAAACTGCCTGCAGGAAAACTTTTTTGTGAAATCTAAGTAATATATTATATATAGTTGAAAACAGGAGATACAAACACCCCTCAATCATAGCAAAACAGGTTTTTTTAAAACTCTTAACTGTCTTTTTTTTTTTTTAGAAACATCTATTACTTATCTTTAAAAATCTTGACTTCACTTTGATTGTTAACTATGCTGGGAGCTAACATTGTACCAATGTTGCTTTATGTCTGTGCTCAAAAGAGAAAATACTTTTATGTATGCAAGATGGTAGAAAGGATGATAAAATAACTTTGGTTGTCATTTCATTTCTCTTAATATAGGTAGGTCATTATATCTTAGTCCTGATTGTTTTTCTTCCCACTTTGCAAAAATTATATTTTTCTACCTTCTTGAGGTAGTACTTCTTTGCCGATTTCTTATTTCTTCCTCCTCTCTCTGTCCCTCCCCACCCCTCTGCCCATTCTCCCTGCCCTTTATTAAATATCAGTTCTAAAGCCAGTCTTTACTAGATTGGTTAAACCCTCTTCCCTCAATGATTGTTAATTGTTATTGTTAACTTGTTAACTGGCTTACAAGTATCAAGGTACAGATTCATTCACTCATATTCATTCATTCTGTCTCTCCTCCATCATCCTGTGGATATCACCTCTGGTGATCACTACAGCCCTCAGGATAACTCCTCCACCTGGAGGAACTAAGAGTACTGAGAGAGGCACTATGTTTGATTGATGTGGAGTGGTGCCGCTCTAACTAGCAGAGGAGAATTTATATAAAAATTAGTTTTAAATTAGTGAATCATTTCTAGATTTTTCCTGTTACAATTACCTGAGTTCAGGAAGGATTGAACATTTATTAGTAAGATCTACGACTTTGGTTTATCCCACCTTTCCTGAATTCATTTCCGTGGGCCAACGTAGCATAATAAATGTCCAGCTAGGAAATGACTCCACTGCCTAGCTCACATGATGTTCGCATAATCTTCTAGAATCTATAGCTCCTTGCCTACTAGGGAAGCTTTTATATTCAGACACAAAAGAGGAAGCATGAGAGAAATCAAACCCTACCATATGCATGAATGTTCTAGATCCTAAGTTTTTCCTCTAGCATAAATGCCTTCTAAAACTGTAAGGGCTAAAATTAACTGCCATTGTGCTACAAAGCAGGGAAGATATGTGTGTGTGTAACTAGATGGTTTTTCACTTATACTAAATACAACTAAATCTCCTGGTTAGAAGTTTTCCTTGGATACTATTTTGCGCCAGGGCTAAGGCTCTCCTAAGGTAGCTGGTTGAGACTCCCAGGTAACATCCTTAAGCTTTGGGCAGGCTCCATGGACTTCAGGTCAGAGGCACCTCTGGGTAGGTGAGCTCCCATCTAATTCTGATCTCTAAGTAATTTGTTTGGCAGTTGCAAGGTCAGATATATGCTAAGTCAATTGAATTTTTCCCCCTTATGAAAGTTTTGCTACTTTTGGTTAGCTTCTGTTAAGGTGTATATAGCTTGTCTTCCTTGACTTTTGACAGAATAAAGAGGGTACTTTTCTGTTTCATGAAAGGCAGCATAATGGTGGTAAACAGAGGAATTAAATGGACTAAGAAGTGACTAAAAGACACCTAAGGAAATGTCATTGCCCCTGAATTGGTGTTAGAACTCCAAGTCAATACTTTTCTGTCACTATCCTGTCCTTTCCAACCAACCTCCCCAAAATAATTCTGGTTTAATTCAGTGCCTGACATCCAGAAATTCCCTTTGTTATAAAGTATATCACAAAATATGTGTCATTAAAGCATAAAATGTGTAACTGATCCATAAATTGGCTGCTTCCTACCAAGTATAAAACTGTAGACATGGATCATAACACTTACTTGCTTGATGGAGCCAGCCTTTGGTGGTAAAGTAGAGCTGCTCTGCCAGCTTCTGGTAGTTATAAAAATAAATTCTCGAGTCTTTGCACTGACCCCAAATCACTGAATTGAAGGAATCCCTAAACCTTCCATTTGCGTTGTGGAGTTTACAGAGGAGTTAAGCAATGTAATGTTGAGAATTATGGCTAGGAGGGGTAAAGAATGGGTTTTTCCTTCGTTCTTCCACTTTTCTTTAGAATATTATGTAAGTTTAGAAAAAGACATGTTCTGAATATTTGAATTTAAATGTACACTAGGAATGAAAATCTTCACCCTTGTGGGAGTAGCTGCTAATCCAAGGACTGGATTGTAGCAGTGGCACGAGCAGAGCATGAAGAGGAGCATAAAAGATGAAGCAGATTCTCATTTCCTCTTCGCGTTTCACTATTACTCTGAACCAGTGCTTTCTGGGAGCGAGACTGTACTCAACTTTGACATAGACCATTAGCCCTTGGCAGGCATCCCAGACCTCTGGCCAGCTCGGTTTGTCTGTCAGCGTTGTGGAAGTAGAGAGGATTGAGTGTGCGTTTGCTCTTCCCGAGGCAATGTGCTTACCTCGTTTGTGTGGTTTTTGTCCCATTGCCCAAGAATGCTGGTATTAAATACATCTTGCCTAGTGATAGGTCTGCCTCATGGCTGCTTCAGAGTCTGGGGTATCTGTGAGTCCCATGAATATTCTGGGAAGGCACCAGACTTGGCACCTTTGCCACTGATAAACATATATACAGATATATACTATATCCTGCTACAGACACTTAAATATGGGGTGTTAAAATTATGATTGTGCTTTATAGATTTTCCCTGTGATACCTTTTGAGAATTAAAAGTATAATAGATTATGAAAAAAAATCTGAGATGAACTATGTGCTTTTCATGCATAATGAAAAAAACACCAGACATGGATATATTTAGTTGCAGATTTTTTTTTAATATGCAGTATTAAATATTTTCCTAAAATCTCAAAAGGTACCAAGACTCCACATCTCGTGGAAAAAATGTACTCTTCTTTCTAAATACTCTTGTGGAAGTATTTTTAAAGTTTATATATTGTGCATAATATGGCATAAAAATTGTATTACTTCAGTGGCTTGTTTGCCATGATATATTGTGCATGAAAAAATGTTTTCAGTTGCTTTGCTTGCTTATTATGGTAACCATGAAACACATTTTCTGGGTTTTTTTCCCATTTGTATGTGTTTACACATGCATTTTAAAAATCATTTCATACTTTTTTTTTTTCACCAAAGGAATATACTGCATGGAAAAGATAAATGCAAACATTCCTTTTCTTTGTTTTTTTCTTTTGAAGTTCTGACTCAGAAAATTTCTTGCTCTTATTGGCTTTTTATGGGTGTGAAGTGTAACCGAATCATGCATGGAAGATACAGATTTAAAATCCAGTGGCTTCACAGTTTGCACATCAGTTGCCTGTCACTTAAAAGTTATTTTAGAATCTGCATGAAATAGGCTTGAGTGGTTTTCTAAAAAACAGTTTTAGATATTTAATGTATAGCTACTCACAATTTATGGTTCTAAGTAGGTGCAATCTGTGTCACCTAAAGGTTCAAGAAGAGGGAACATTAGAAATTACTAAAACAAGAGTTACCTGGTTGCACAAAACCAACATGTACCTGTACAGGCAAAACAGAATGGCTACTGATTTTTCAAAACCAGCACATAAGAAAGTCAATAGGAAGTAAGGGACCAGTTTTCCATTGTGATTATTTTTCTCATCCTTTCCTCATGTTTTCTGTTTTTCCATTGTTGGCCTATTTGGTTGCAATGTGCTTTTTCTGTCTTTCATTTCACATTGCTCTGTTTTTTATTGATTAATTTATTTTTAAGCTTGGATTGGTTATGTATGTAGAAAATTTTTTTCCTCTTTTACTTAATTGTTCATTTTGCCTCTTCCACTCTTAAATCATGCAAACAATTGTACTTGCTTCTGTAATATTTCAAAGTTTACTGACCAATTTTTTTCTCTGGTCTCTCTGTTTCTCAACCATTTTTGTTGATTTTGTGTTTGATTTCATTTTAAAATTTAAGAAACAGTTGAACGGAGTGCAGGAGCAACAAGATCCCTCCCCACCACTTACTCATACAAGCCATTCTTTTCTACAAGACCATACCAGTCCTGGACAGCAGCTCCGATTACAGTGCCTGGGCCGGCCAAGTCGGGCTTCACTTCCTTATCAAGTTCTTCCTCTAATACTCCATCAGCTTCTCCATTAAAATCAATATGGTCTGTTTCGACTCCTTCTCCAATCAAATCCACGTTAGGCGCGTCAACTACATCTTCAGTTAAATCCATTAGTGATGTGGCATCTCCAATTAGATCCTTTCGGACAATTTCTTCGCCAATAAAAACAGTGGTGTCACAATCTCCGTACAATATCCAAGTTCCCTCTGGTACCCTGGTTAGAGCTCCCGCAGTCACGGAGGCCTCACCTTTAAAAGGGCTGGCATCCAGTTCCACATTTTCCTCTCGAACCTCTCCTGTGACTACAGCAGGGTCTCTCCTGGAGAGGTCATCAATAACTATGACACCCCCGGCCTCCCCCAAGTCAAACATTAACATGTATTCCTCAAGTTTGCCATTTAAGTCAATTATCACATCAGCAGCACCACTCATATCTTCACCTTTAAAGTCAGTGGCGTCGCCAGCCAAAGCAGCAGTTGATGTTATTTCATCAGCTAAAGTTACCATGGCCTCTTCTCTCTCATCACCTGTGAAACAGATGCCTGGACATGCAGAGGTAGCATTAGTTAATGGATCTATTTCCCCTCTGAAATATCCATCATCTTCAACTCTGATTAATGGATGCAAAGCCACTGCCACATTACAGGAAAAAATGTCTACAGCTACAAACTCTGTGAGCTCTGTGGTTAATGCAGCCACGGACACGGTTGAGAAAGTGTTTTCTACCACAACAGCAATGCCGTTTTCCCCACTCAGGTCCTATGTTTCTTCAGCACCATCAGCTTTTCAGTCTCTAAGAACTCCTTCCGCAAGTGCACTCTATACATCTCTTGGGTCGTCAATATCTGCAACTACCTCATCTGTAACTTCATCAATAATAACAGTGCCAGTATACTCTGTAGTCAATGTTTTGCCAGAACCAGCATTAAAGAAACTTCCAGACTCAAATTCACTTACAAAATCAGCAGCAGCCTTGCTGTCACCCATTAAAACATTGACTACGGAGACGCATCCTCAGCCCCATTTCAATCGAACTTCATCTCCAGTTAAATCATCCATGTTCCTTGCACCCTCTGCCCTTAAGTTGTCTACAGCATCTTCTTTATCTTCCAGTCAGGAGATACTAAAAGATGTGGCTGAAATGAAAGAGGACCTCATGCGGATGACTGCCATACTGCAGACGGATGTGCCTGAGGAGAAGCCCTTCCGCCCTGAGCCCCCAAAGGAGGGGAGGATGGATGACGAAGAACCTTTCAGAATTGTTGAGAAAGTGAAGGAAGACTTAGTGAAAGTTAGTGAAATCCTTAAAAAAGATGTGTGTGTCGATAATAAAGGACCACCCAAATCACCAAAGAGTGACAAAGGACATTCTCCTGAAGATGACTGGATAGAATTTAGTTCAGAAGAACTAAGGGAAGCACGACAGCAAGCCGCTGTGAGCCATTCTCCGTCTCTGCCCGAGAGAGTGCAAGGAAGAGCAAAGGCCACCTCTGAAAAGGATTACAACTTGACCAAAGTCATTGATTACCTGACAAATGATATTGGGAGCAGTTCGCTGACCAACTTAAAGTACAAGTTTGAGGATGCAAAGAAGGATGGTGAAGAGAGACAGAAAAGAATTCTAAAACCCGCGATCGCTTTGCAGGAACACAAACTCAAAATGCCTCCAGCCTCCATGAGGCCTTCCACCTCTGAGAAAGAGTTATGCAAAATGGCTGATTCCTTTTTTGGAACAGATACCATTTTAGAGTCTCCAGATGACTTTTCTCAACATGACCAAGATAAAAGTCCCTTGTCTGACAGTGGCTTTGAAACAAGAAGTGAAAAAACACCTTCAGCCCCCCAAAGCGCTGAAAGCACTGGTCCGAAGCCACTTTTCCATGAAGTCCCCATCCCTCCTGTTATCACAGAAACAAGAACTGAAGTGGTTCATGTCATCAGGAGCTATGAGCCCTCAGCTGGAGATGCTCCCCAGGCCCAAGCAGAAGAGCCTGTGTCACCCAAACCTCCACATACCTTTATGGAACTGGAACCAAAGCCCGCCACTTCCAGTATTAAGGAAAAAGTTAAAGCATTTCAGATGAAAGCCAGTAGTGAAGAAGATGACCACAATCGAGTATTGAGCAAAGGCATGCGTGTTAAAGAGGAGACTCACATAACCACAACCACCAGAATGGTTTATCATTCTCCACCAGCCAGTGAAGGTGCCTCTGAGAGGATCGAAGAAACCATGTCCGTCCATGACATTATGAAGGCCTTTCAGTCTGGGCGGGACCCTTCCAAAGAACTGGCAGGTCTGTTTGAACATAAGTCAGCAGTGTCTCCAGATGGTCCCAAGTCTGCTGCTGACTCCTCAGCCCAGCATGCAGAGAAGGACAACCAAATGAAACCCAAACTGGAGCGTATAATAGAAGTCCACATCGAAAAAGGTAACCAAGCTGAGCCCACTGAAGTCATTATTAGAGAAACCAAAAAGCATCCAGAAAAGGAAATGTATGTGTATCAGAAAGACTTATCCCGGGGAGATATTAACCTAAAAGATTTTCTGCCAGAAAAACACGATGCTTTCCCTTGTTCAGAGGAACAGGGTCAGCAAGAAGAAGAGGAACTTACTGCTGAAGAGTCACTGCCTTCTTATCTGGAGTCTTCCAGAGTAAACACTCCTGTGTCCCAAGAAGAAGATAGTCGCCCTAGTTCTGCTCAGCTCGTATCTGATGACTCTTACAAAACATTGAAGCTTTTGAGTCAACACTCAATAGAATACCATGACGATGAGTTGTCAGAACTAAGAGGGGAGTCTTACAGGTTTGCTGAGAAAATGCTTCTGTCAGAAAAGCTAGATGTATCTCAGTCTGATACTGAGGAATCAGTTACAGACCATGCAGGACCCCCTAGCTCAGAGTTACAGCGGTCTGATAAACGGTCCAGAGAAAAAGTAGTCACTGCCCCCAAAAAAGAAATTCTCTCCAAAATCTGTAAAGATGTGTCTGAAAATGGTGTAGGTAAAGTGTCTAAAGATGAGCATTTTGATAAAGTGACAGTGTTGCACTATTCTGGCGATGTTAGTAGTCCAAAACATGCCATGTGGATGCGCTTTACTGAGGACAGATTAGACAGAGGCAGAGAGAAGTTGATATATGAAGATAGGGTGGACAGGACTGTGAAGGAAGCTGAAGAAAAACTGACTGAAGTGTCACAGTTTTTTCGTGACAAAACCGAAAAGCTAAACGATGAGCTGCGGTCCCCAGAGAAAAAGCCACGCCCTCGAAATGGCAAAGAGTACTCGCCTCCATGCTCTACTGGTAGCAGCCCTGACACAGCCCTGCTGCCAGGACTGGTGGCGCCCAGTGACGAGTGGGTTAAGGCAAGGCAGCATGGCCGTGACAGACAAGGCCTCCCCGCAGCCAGCGAGAGCAAGGCATCCAGTGTGCCCAGCAGTCCAGAGAACAAGGATCTTCCCCAGCAGACTGAGGACAGCAGGTCCACCGAGGAAGCCAAGGAAAGTACTTCACAGAGCAAAGCACCAGAAGGGCCCCAGTCTGGGTTTCAGCTCAAACAGTCTAAACTCAGTTCCATTAGACTAAAATTTGAACAAGGCACACAGGCAAAAATTAAGGACATGTCTCAAGAGGACAAAAAGCCTGATAGCCAATCCAGGATCCCAGTTAAGAAAATCCAGGAGAGCAAGCTACCTGTCTACCAAGTTTTTGCTAGAGAAAAACAGCAGAAGGCCATAGACCTCTCAGAAGAAAATGTGTCTGTACAAAACGACTTTATGTTGTTGAAAGCTAAAGATGAGCGTGCCCAAAGCAATGAGATTATTGTAAATGATTCTGGCTCTGACGATGTGAGAAAACAGAGAGCGGAGATGTCAAGTAAAGCAATGCCTGACTCTTTTTCTGAGCAACAGGCTAAAGACTTGGCATGTCATGTAACCTCAGATTTAGCAACTAAGGGACCATGGGACAGAAAGGTCTTTAGAACATGGGAAAGTTCTGGAGCCATTAACAATAAGCCACAGAAAGAAAAACTTTCACACATGCTTGTTCATGATGTAAGAGAGAATCACACTGGTCACCCTGAGAGTAAAACTGTTGATCAAAGAAATGAAGTTGTGTCTGTGACTGAGAGAGAACACCAATTGTTAACAAATGGTTCTCTCTCAGAAATTAAGGAAATGACTATAAAATCTCCCTCCAAAAAGGTCTTATACAGGGAATATGTTGTAAAAGAAGGAGAACACCCAGGTGGACCTCTTGAACAACCTTCCAGGAAAAGTGAGAGTCCTGCCATGTCACACATCCCAGTCAGAGCTGCAGATGAAAGGAAAATGCTATCTTCTCATATTCCTGATGGTTTTCGCGAGCAGACGGCATTCCCAAAACATGAACTATCACAAAAGTTACCCCAATCATGTCTGAGTAAAGAGACAGTTGAGACACAGCACTTTAATTCTATAAAAGATGAAAAAGTTACCTATTCAGAAATCAGCAGAGTTTCCAAACATCAGAGTTTTGTAGGCTTATGTCCACCTCTCGATGACACGGAAACCTCTCCCACCAAATCTCCTGATTCTTTAGAGTTTAGCCCAGGAAAGGAATCTCCTTCTAGCGATGTATTTGACCACAGTCCCATTGATGGATTGGAAAAAGTTGCACCACTAGCCCAGACAGAGGGAGGGAAAGAGATAAAAACTTTACCAGTTTATGTCAGTTTCGTACAGGTGGGGAAGCAATATGAAAAGGAGATACAACAGGGAAATGTAAAAAAGATCGTAAGTCAGGAATGTAAGACAGTCCAAGAGACCAGGGGGACCTTTTATACAACTAGACAGCAAAAGCAGCCTCCTTCTCCCCAAGGTAGTCCAGAAGATGATACTCTAGAGCAAGTTTCCTTTCTAGACAGTTCTGGGAAAAGCCCTTTAACCCCAGAAACACCCAGTTCAGAGGAAGTGAGTTATGAATTTACGTCTAAGACACCAGAATTTTCTCATCCTTTCCTCATGTTTTCTGTTTTTCCATTGTTGGCCTATTTGGTTGCAATGTGCTTTTTCTGTCTTTCATTTCACATTGCTCTGTTTTTTATTGATTAATTTATTTTTAAGCTTGGATTGGTTATGTATGTAGAAAATTTTTTTCCTCTTTTACTTAATTGTTCATTTTGCCTCTTCCACTCTTAAATCATGCAAACAATTGTACTTGCTTCTGTAATATTTCAAAGTTTACTGACCAATTTTTTTCTCTGGTCTCTCTGTTTCTCAACCATTTTTGTTGATTTTGTGTTTGATTTCATTTTAAAATTTAAGAAACAGTTGAACGGAGTGCAGGAGCAACAAGATCCCTCCCCACCACTTACTCATACAAGCCATTCTTTTCTACAAGACCATACCAGTCCTGGACAGCAGCTCCGATTACAGTGCCTGGGCCGGCCAAGTCGGGCTTCACTTCCTTATCAAGTTCTTCCTCTAATACTCCATCAGCTTCTCCATTAAAATCAATATGGTCTGTTTCGACTCCTTCTCCAATCAAATCCACGTTAGGCGCGTCAACTACATCTTCAGTTAAATCCATTAGTGATGTGGCATCTCCAATTAGATCCTTTCGGACAATTTCTTCGCCAATAAAAACAGTGGTGTCACAATCTCCGTACAATATCCAAGTTCCCTCTGGTACCCTGGTTAGAGCTCCCGCAGTCACGGAGGCCTCACCTTTAAAAGGGCTGGCATCCAGTTCCACATTTTCCTCTCGAACCTCTCCTGTGACTACAGCAGGGTCTCTCCTGGAGAGGTCATCAATAACTATGACACCCCCGGCCTCCCCCAAGTCAAACATTAACATGTATTCCTCAAGTTTGCCATTTAAGTCAATTATCACATCAGCAGCACCACTCATATCTTCACCTTTAAAGTCAGTGGCGTCGCCAGCCAAAGCAGCAGTTGATGTTATTTCATCAGCTAAAGTTACCATGGCCTCTTCTCTCTCATCACCTGTGAAACAGATGCCTGGACATGCAGAGGTAGCATTAGTTAATGGATCTATTTCCCCTCTGAAATATCCATCATCTTCAACTCTGATTAATGGATGCAAAGCCACTGCCACATTACAGGAAAAAATGTCTACAGCTACAAACTCTGTGAGCTCTGTGGTTAATGCAGCCACGGACACGGTTGAGAAAGTGTTTTCTACCACAACAGCAATGCCGTTTTCCCCACTCAGGTCCTATGTTTCTTCAGCACCATCAGCTTTTCAGTCTCTAAGAACTCCTTCCGCAAGTGCACTCTATACATCTCTTGGGTCGTCAATATCTGCAACTACCTCATCTGTAACTTCATCAATAATAACAGTGCCAGTATACTCTGTAGTCAATGTTTTGCCAGAACCAGCATTAAAGAAACTTCCAGACTCAAATTCACTTACAAAATCAGCAGCAGCCTTGCTGTCACCCATTAAAACATTGACTACGGAGACGCATCCTCAGCCCCATTTCAATCGAACTTCATCTCCAGTTAAATCATCCATGTTCCTTGCACCCTCTGCCCTTAAGTTGTCTACAGCATCTTCTTTATCTTCCAGTCAGGAGATACTAAAAGATGTGGCTGAAATGAAAGAGGACCTCATGCGGATGACTGCCATACTGCAGACGGATGTGCCTGAGGAGAAGCCCTTCCGCCCTGAGCCCCCAAAGGAGGGGAGGATGGATGACGAAGAACCTTTCAGAATTGTTGAGAAAGTGAAGGAAGACTTAGTGAAAGTTAGTGAAATCCTTAAAAAAGATGTGTGTGTCGATAATAAAGGACCACCCAAATCACCAAAGAGTGACAAAGGACATTCTCCTGAAGATGACTGGATAGAATTTAGTTCAGAAGAACTAAGGGAAGCACGACAGCAAGCCGCTGTGAGCCATTCTCCGTCTCTGCCCGAGAGAGTGCAAGGAAGAGCAAAGGCCACCTCTGAAAAGGATTACAACTTGACCAAAGTCATTGATTACCTGACAAATGATATTGGGAGCAGTTCGCTGACCAACTTAAAGTACAAGTTTGAGGATGCAAAGAAGGATGGTGAAGAGAGACAGAAAAGAATTCTAAAACCCGCGATCGCTTTGCAGGAACACAAACTCAAAATGCCTCCAGCCTCCATGAGGCCTTCCACCTCTGAGAAAGAGTTATGCAAAATGGCTGATTCCTTTTTTGGAACAGATACCATTTTAGAGTCTCCAGATGACTTTTCTCAACATGACCAAGATAAAAGTCCCTTGTCTGACAGTGGCTTTGAAACAAGAAGTGAAAAAACACCTTCAGCCCCCCAAAGCGCTGAAAGCACTGGTCCGAAGCCACTTTTCCATGAAGTCCCCATCCCTCCTGTTATCACAGAAACAAGAACTGAAGTGGTTCATGTCATCAGGAGCTATGAGCCCTCAGCTGGAGATGCTCCCCAGGCCCAAGCAGAAGAGCCTGTGTCACCCAAACCTCCACATACCTTTATGGAACTGGAACCAAAGCCCGCCACTTCCAGTATTAAGGAAAAAGTTAAAGCATTTCAGATGAAAGCCAGTAGTGAAGAAGATGACCACAATCGAGTATTGAGCAAAGGCATGCGTGTTAAAGAGGAGACTCACATAACCACAACCACCAGAATGGTTTATCATTCTCCACCAGCCAGTGAAGGTGCCTCTGAGAGGATCGAAGAAACCATGTCCGTCCATGACATTATGAAGGCCTTTCAGTCTGGGCGGGACCCTTCCAAAGAACTGGCAGGTCTGTTTGAACATAAGTCAGCAGTGTCTCCAGATGGTCCCAAGTCTGCTGCTGACTCCTCAGCCCAGCATGCAGAGAAGGACAACCAAATGAAACCCAAACTGGAGCGTATAATAGAAGTCCACATCGAAAAAGGTAACCAAGCTGAGCCCACTGAAGTCATTATTAGAGAAACCAAAAAGCATCCAGAAAAGGAAATGTATGTGTATCAGAAAGACTTATCCCGGGGAGATATTAACCTAAAAGATTTTCTGCCAGAAAAACACGATGCTTTCCCTTGTTCAGAGGAACAGGGTCAGCAAGAAGAAGAGGAACTTACTGCTGAAGAGTCACTGCCTTCTTATCTGGAGTCTTCCAGAGTAAACACTCCTGTGTCCCAAGAAGAAGATAGTCGCCCTAGTTCTGCTCAGCTCGTATCTGATGACTCTTACAAAACATTGAAGCTTTTGAGTCAACACTCAATAGAATACCATGACGATGAGTTGTCAGAACTAAGAGGGGAGTCTTACAGGTTTGCTGAGAAAATGCTTCTGTCAGAAAAGCTAGATGTATCTCAGTCTGATACTGAGGAATCAGTTACAGACCATGCAGGACCCCCTAGCTCAGAGTTACAGCGGTCTGATAAACGGTCCAGAGAAAAAGTAGTCACTGCCCCCAAAAAAGAAATTCTCTCCAAAATCTGTAAAGATGTGTCTGAAAATGGTGTAGGTAAAGTGTCTAAAGATGAGCATTTTGATAAAGTGACAGTGTTGCACTATTCTGGCGATGTTAGTAGTCCAAAACATGCCATGTGGATGCGCTTTACTGAGGACAGATTAGACAGAGGCAGAGAGAAGTTGATATATGAAGATAGGGTGGACAGGACTGTGAAGGAAGCTGAAGAAAAACTGACTGAAGTGTCACAGTTTTTTCGTGACAAAACCGAAAAGCTAAACGATGAGCTGCGGTCCCCAGAGAAAAAGCCACGCCCTCGAAATGGCAAAGAGTACTCGCCTCCATGCTCTACTGGTAGCAGCCCTGACACAGCCCTGCTGCCAGGACTGGTGGCGCCCAGTGACGAGTGGGTTAAGGCAAGGCAGCATGGCCGTGACAGACAAGGCCTCCCCGCAGCCAGCGAGAGCAAGGCATCCAGTGTGCCCAGCAGTCCAGAGAACAAGGATCTTCCCCAGCAGACTGAGGACAGCAGGTCCACCGAGGAAGCCAAGGAAAGTACTTCACAGAGCAAAGCACCAGAAGGGCCCCAGTCTGGGTTTCAGCTCAAACAGTCTAAACTCAGTTCCATTAGACTAAAATTTGAACAAGGCACACAGGCAAAAATTAAGGACATGTCTCAAGAGGACAAAAAGCCTGATAGCCAATCCAGGATCCCAGTTAAGAAAATCCAGGAGAGCAAGCTACCTGTCTACCAAGTTTTTGCTAGAGAAAAACAGCAGAAGGCCATAGACCTCTCAGAAGAAAATGTGTCTGTACAAAACGACTTTATGTTGTTGAAAGCTAAAGATGAGCGTGCCCAAAGCAATGAGATTATTGTAAATGATTCTGGCTCTGACGATGTGAGAAAACAGAGAGCGGAGATGTCAAGTAAAGCAATGCCTGACTCTTTTTCTGAGCAACAGGCTAAAGACTTGGCATGTCATGTAACCTCAGATTTAGCAACTAAGGGACCATGGGACAGAAAGGTCTTTAGAACATGGGAAAGTTCTGGAGCCATTAACAATAAGCCACAGAAAGAAAAACTTTCACACATGCTTGTTCATGATGTAAGAGAGAATCACACTGGTCACCCTGAGAGTAAAACTGTTGATCAAAGAAATGAAGTTGTGTCTGTGACTGAGAGAGAACACCAATTGTTAACAAATGGTTCTCTCTCAGAAATTAAGGAAATGACTATAAAATCTCCCTCCAAAAAGGTCTTATACAGGGAATATGTTGTAAAAGAAGGAGAACACCCAGGTGGACCTCTTGAACAACCTTCCAGGAAAAGTGAGAGTCCTGCCATGTCACACATCCCAGTCAGAGCTGCAGATGAAAGGAAAATGCTATCTTCTCATATTCCTGATGGTTTTCGCGAGCAGACGGCATTCCCAAAACATGAACTATCACAAAAGTTACCCCAATCATGTCTGAGTAAAGAGACAGTTGAGACACAGCACTTTAATTCTATAAAAGATGAAAAAGTTACCTATTCAGAAATCAGCAGAGTTTCCAAACATCAGAGTTTTGTAGGCTTATGTCCACCTCTCGATGACACGGAAACCTCTCCCACCAAATCTCCTGATTCTTTAGAGTTTAGCCCAGGAAAGGAATCTCCTTCTAGCGATGTATTTGACCACAGTCCCATTGATGGATTGGAAAAAGTTGCACCACTAGCCCAGACAGAGGGAGGGAAAGAGATAAAAACTTTACCAGTTTATGTCAGTTTCGTACAGGTGGGGAAGCAATATGAAAAGGAGATACAACAGGGAAATGTAAAAAAGATCGTAAGTCAGGAATGTAAGACAGTCCAAGAGACCAGGGGGACCTTTTATACAACTAGACAGCAAAAGCAGCCTCCTTCTCCCCAAGGTAGTCCAGAAGATGATACTCTAGAGCAAGTTTCCTTTCTAGACAGTTCTGGGAAAAGCCCTTTAACCCCAGAAACACCCAGTTCAGAGGAAGTGAGTTATGAATTTACGTCTAAGACACCAGACTCACTCATAGCTTATATACCAGGCAAACCCAGCCCAATTCCCGAAGTTTCTGAGGAATCTGAGGAGGAGGAGCAGGCCAAGTCAGCCTCCTTAAAGCAGACTACAGTGGAGGAAACAGTTGAGCGTGAAATACCTAACAGTGTGAGCAAAGACTCTAACCAAAGATCCAAAAATAACAGAGTTGCCTATATTGAATTTCCCCCTCCTCCACCACTGGATGAAGACCAGATCGAGTCAGATAAGAAACATCATTATGTCCCTGAAAAAGAGGTTGACATGATTGAAGTCAGTCTGCAAGATGAGCATGACAAATACCAACTGGCGGAACCAGTCATCAGAGTGCAGCCACCTTCACCAGTTCCTCCTGGGGCAGACGTCAGTGATTCGAGTGATGATGAATCTATTTATCAACCAGTCCCAGTTAAAAAATATACCTTCAAATTAAAGGAGGTAGACAATGAACAAAAAGAAATGACAAAATCCAAACCTTCTGCTGACAAGCCTTCTGACCAGAAAGAACTGGAAACTAGTGGATCTGGAAAAGATAACGAATTTGGCCTTGGCCTTGATTCACCTCAGAATGAAACTGCCCAGAACGGGAACAATGACCAGTCCATCACGGAGTGTTCCATTGCTACCACGGCAGAGTTTTCTCATGATACAGATGCCACAGAGATCGACTCTCTGGACGGCTATGACTTGCAAGATGAGGATGACGGCTTGACAGAGAGTGATTCTAAACTCCCAAGTCAAGCCATGGAAATTAAGAAAGATGTGTGGACCACAGAGGGTATTCTGAAGCCAGCTGATCGCTCCTTCAGCCAAAGCAAACTTGAAGTTATTGAGGAGGAGGGAAGGATGGGACCAGATGAAGATAAGCCACCTTCTAAAAGTTCTTCATCTGAAAAGACCCCTGACAAAACTGATCAGAAGTCAGGGGCCCAGTTTTTCACATTAGAAGGCAGACATCCCGACAGATCAGTGTTTCCTGATACTTACTTCAGTTACAAAGTAGATGAAGAATTTGCCACTCCTTTTAAAACAGTAGCTACCAAAGGTCTAGATTTTGACCCTTGGTCTAATAACCGAGGGGACGATGAAGTTTTTGACAGTAAATCCCGGGAAGATGAAACTAAGCCATTTGGTCTGGCTGTGGAAGACCGTTCTCCAGCAACGACCCCTGATACAACGCCAGCCAGAACACCAACTGATGAAAGTACCCCAACTAGTGAGCCTAACCCCTTCCCATTTCATGAAGGAAAAATGTTTGAGATGACTCGCAGTGGTGCAATTGACATGAGCAAGAGGGATTTTGTTGAAGAAAGGCTCCAATTTTTCCAGATTGGTGAGCATACTTCTGAAGGGAAGTCAGGGGACCAGGGGGAAGGGGATAAAAGTATGGTCACTGCCACACCACAGCCACAGTCAGGGGACACCACTGTAGAAAACAGTCTAGAGAGAAATGTAGAGATGCCTACAGTCGAACCTAACCCCAGCGCCCCGACCAGCGGAGAGTGCCAGGAAGCCCCCTCCAGTAGTGGCTCCCTGGAGAAAGCAGCAGCCAGTAACACCTCTAAAGTTGACCCCAAATTGCGCACGCCTATAAAGATGGGAATTTCTGCATCTACCATGACCATGAAGAAAGAAGGCCCTGGAGAAGTAACAGATAAGATAGAAGCTGTGCTGGCCAGCTGCCAGGGGTTAGAGAATGAAGCTGTAACAGTGATTTCAAATGCAGCCAATAGCCACATGGGCGCTAGGCCCCAAGAAAAACATGATTTCCAAAAAGATAACTTTAACAACAACAACAATTTGGATTCATCCACTATGCAGACAGATAGTGTTATAAGTAATGTAGGTCTGACAGAACATTCTGACTCTGCACCCACTTGTACCACAGAGAAAGCTATTCCAGTGAAAAGCTTATCAGGAAAAAAGACAGGGGTGCCACAAGGACACTGTGTAAGAGATAAGCAGAAAGTTTCTGGAGAGCAGGAAAAGACAAAGCAATCAGTAGGAATTAGGCAAAAATCCAAGCTTCCCATAAAGGCCACTTCACCAAAAGTTATCTTCCCACCAACTCATACGCCAAACATTAAAGTGAGCAAAATGAAGAAGGTTAGTCAGTCTGAGAAAACCAAAACGCTTACCTCTTTTTCATGTGTAGATATGAAGTCCAGAATCCCAGTAAAAAACACACACAGGCATGACACAGTTTCAGTTAGAAAAGCATATGCCTCACAAAAGCAAGGGCAGCCAGAAAAAGGCAAGGCCAAACAGCTCCCATCCAAGTTGCCAGTAAAGGTAAGAGCCACCTGTGTCACCACCACCACCACCACCACCACCACCACAACAGTTAAAGTTAAGAAGAGTCAGCTTAAGGAAGTATGTAAACATTCCATTGAATATTTTAAGGGCATTAGTGGTGAGACCTTAAAGCTTGTGGACCGCCTCTCGGAAGAAGACAAAAAGATGCAGTCCGAGCTGTCCGATGAGGAAGACAGTACCTCAAGAAACACATCGTTGTCCGAGACTTCCCGGGGTGGCCCGCCTTCAGTTACAACGAAGTCTACTAGAGATAAGAAAACAGAGGCAGCACCTTTAAAATCAAAGAGTGAAAAGGCCGGCAGTGAGAAAAGGAGCAGTAGGCGGACTGGTGAGAATGAAGGCAGTCAGGTTTCTCGAGCGCTCTTTGCTCACATCCTGGAGAACGACCATAGTTTGTAAACACTTTCCAACTTGTAGACTCTAGTGCATGACCTGTTGTGATTGCCTGTGGAGTGACTTAACCGTAGTTTCTCATTCTGTCATTGTCATCTGTATGTGCTGTACTCTTCTTTCTTCCTTTTAACAAAACTACACTGTAGACAGCTAGGGAAGCATGCTGAAGATATTGATGTCATTCAAGATGGGCAACTATTTTTTTAATGTGCTAATGAATATGATTCTGTCAAAGCACAGGCACAGATGTTGAAACCCCATCATAGTGTTTGCACCAGCCCAACAATTCTGTAATTGTTAAGTAGCTAACTTGTCAGCATGTTCAACCCCATTACATTGAGCATCCATGTAGTCTGACATTGGCCTGATGCAGGTGAAAATCAAGTGAGCCATGTGAAAAAAGAAGTGTTCATGTAGGTGATTAGGACACATTTAAGTGTACAGTGTTAGCATTAGTCTCTGTAAAATCTGAGTACTGCTAAAAGTAATTTTCCAGTATTGCATCTTTCTTGATGATTATTTTAATTAAAAAATTGTGAATCGTAGGTCCTCAGAGTCCATGTGAACGAACAGATATCAGGATGGCAATAGTAGCCGATCACCTGGGACTTAGTTGGACAGGTAAGTATGTATACTCCTGAATGAAACAAATACAGATGCTTAATTTCTTTGGCTTATGCACAAGTGGCTCATTATAAAAGAAAAAGACAAAAATAAACAACAAATAAAAAATATTTTTATCACCTGTAATTCTAGCTACCCAGAGATAATTACTGATAATACCCAGATATAGTATTTTGCTTCTTTAAAGGTGAAAATAAGGTTCTATGTCAATTGGGTAATTCTGCTTTGTAGTTTTGATGTTAATGGGGCCCCAACTCCTTCATCAACTACATCAGAGAAATTTTAAGTTTTATAGGTTGAGTGGATTTTTTCTTTTTTAAACAATAATAGGTATTTCATTTTCTCTAAAGTCATCTTGGTATACCATCAGCAACATACATTCTACTCTAGGGAAACAATTAGCTACACTATTAAAAGGGAATGTGAAACTAGAATATTGCAAACAAGGTCAGCTAAATTGTTTTTCTTTGAATGTCCTAAGTCCCACCCATCTGAACACATTAAATCCTCCTCTTCGGCATAATGCTAATAAACGGGAGCATAGTGGAGCTCTAAAAAGACAGGCGGTCTGAGTAATCTTTTCCAGGTTGTTGAGAGTTAATAGCAATTCACTATGTATAAATGTTGCTAACATAAAATTAATAATTATATTTTAACAGTGAACAGTATAATCTGAAAATATACTGGAACAAATTTTTATTTTGCAACATTATATGCCCATAAAACTATTAGATTAGATTATTAGATAGAATCTCAACCAAATTTAAGATTTAGTCCTTAAATTTTTGAGAACATGTGACATGAGAATACCCAAACATAAAGTCATAAAACTGTAAAATTCTTAGTGACAGTGTGTCTTTGCTCTTCATTGAGTCTCTATAGAAAGAATACAGTTGGATCATGAAGGCTTTATGGGTAGTAGGGAGCATTGTCTCTTGAAACACTAAGAGATGAAGAACTTAAAATTTAGCTTTTCTCATTTGAATTGCAATATGTTAAATGAAGATTATTAGGAAATTTAGCATTTAGAAAACCAAAATTTACATCTGTCCCTCAGGACCACTCATTAACATCTTAATGTACTTTTATTCTTTTTTTATAAAAAGCTCTTAAAATGTTATATATACAATGTAATTTTTTTTACTTTGTAGTTCAACATGTCTACAAAATATTCTCTGATCTGGGTTTTAATGGGTAAATAACATCCAAAAGACATAACTTTACAATGGTGTTTTTCTAACTGTGGGTCGCAGTGCACTAGTGAGTGAGTCATGAAATCAGCTCATATTTTTTGTTTTTAAATGGAACAGAATGGAGATGAAAATATGTATTACATGTAATAAGGCAGTTCTGATCTATGAAGATCTGGTTTCATTATTTAAATGCCATGATATACAGTCTATTCTAACTGAAGGCTGTCATCAAGAGTTTGCAAGTCACTGCATTATGTTAATTAACTCTTCTCCTTTGGTTCAACACCTGGATTATTTTCAATTCTCATTAGTACAAGCCTAAAATAAACACTCATGTATTAAATCATTGTGTCCAACCCTGTGTATTGTCATGATAGATTTCTGGAAGTGAAATAATTTGGTCAAAGGATATGGACTTTTTTAAGCCTCTGAATGCATTTTGCCAAATTGTTGGAAATACTTCTTAAGCAGCATAAAATCTCAACCAATTCCTTTTCAATGGAAGGATTTCTTCCAATTTCTTCTTACCATTTAGGGTAAATACATACCCAATAAATTTTTGTAATGGCACAAAAATATACAGTGAAAAGTAAGTCTTTTTCATCTTTGACTCCTAAATTATCCTCTCCCAAGGCAGCCACTAATATTCCTATCTTGTGTATCTTTCCAAGGACACAAACACTGTGCACTTAACTAGAGTGAGTGTGTGGGTATATAAATTTAGACAGAAAGCTAGCTTGCTTTTACTTTTTTACACAAGTGGCAGTGTACCAGAAACAGTGATCTGGCCTGGAGTCATCATTTAACCTACCAAGTGGAGTTCAGAGAACTTAGAGGCATACCAAGTAGAATACTATGTACTTGATGAAGACTGCCTAGGGCAAAGCATACCAGCACCTCTTATGCCATATTTGTGAAGTGCAAATCCCTACCTATCTTGTATGAAGTTTGCTCACATTGCAGTGAATCATTTAGCTGAATTAAAAGAACCCAACTCTTTGACATATCAAGAATATAAAACAATCTCTAAAGGGACTCTCGTTGCAGCTAAGTAATTACCTCCAGAGCATTTAGTCACTCGCTGTGTATGATCACTACTTTCCTGTGAAATCAAGTATATAAAGGTGAATGCCCAAGGCTAGACTTCGGCTTTATTATAAAATTCCTTTCCCTTTTTTTAACAGTTGAATGTTACTATTATGAAATACATGTGATAAAAGTAGAATATGAAATCTTAATAACTCTTTTTCTTTTCTACAGAACTGGCAAGGGAACTGAATTTTTCAGTGGATGAAATCAATCAAATACGTGTGGAAAATCCAAATTCTTTAATTTCTCAAAGCTTCATGTTATTAAAAAAATGGGTTACCAGAGATGGAAAAAATGCTACAAGTATGCTGAAATTATATTACTTTAACTTTCAAAACTGCATATATCCAATATTTTAGATGAGCCTACTACTGATAAATCACAGTGCTCATAGCAAGCCTTTGAAGTTATATTTGTTTACTACTATTCTAAACTTAGGTCTTTAGGAAGCTTTTCAGAAAGCAAGTAGTAGAGAACTTTTTGCATTTTGTCTGTGGTTCTCTCTGTGACCATGAAAAATTAAAATATAATTTTAATTATAAGTCAAGTTAAGTCATGGGGCAGTAGTCAGAAAACTGAATTATAAGTTAATGTATAATTATTAGAAAACATAATTATAAGTTAAGTCACAGGACAGTAGTAAGAAAACTGAAGTTACTGCTGCTGTAGCTAGAGATTGATACACAAGAAGGTGGAGAAGGGAGAATAGGATCAGATCATGTTGTGCAGCTGGTCTGTGATAGCAGGAAATTCTCTAATATTGTTGGGTTGGGTGGTGTGAGATTGGGTGGGGTGGGAGTACTATACTATGACAAGTGTCAACCCACAACAATGTGGAGTAAGTAATTGGGTGTTTGCCTGTGTCAGTCTGATCCCTTAGTAAGTGATTAAAATACTAAGCCTCAAATATGTGGGTGACCTCTTTTAACAGTCTAAAAGGAGAGGAACATGTAAAAATTTTAACAGATCCCCTTACAACTAGGAGTCTACTTACTTTGAGGCCCAATTGCTCTGCACTTTACAATGGCATCAGTGTTGCTGTCATCACACACAGCTCCACAAAGTGATTTTTCCGACCCTAACATGTGTTACCTGTGGTGGCGAGCTTCCTGAGCCCCCTGGATAGTGGTGTTGCAGAGCTGTGGTACAGAGGAGCTGAAGAAGTGGCGAAGTGGCAAGAAAGTCATGCCTGTGTGTGGATATTGTGATGTGACTAATGTCATTGGGTTTCCAATCTTTTTTTCTCCTTTTTCAGCTGATGCCTTAACTTCGGTCTTGACAAAAATAAATCGAATAGATATAGTGACTCTGCTAGAAGGACCAATATTTGATTATGGAAATATTTCAGGCACCAGAAGTTTTGCAGATGAGAACAGTGTTTTCCATGACCCTGTTGATGGTAATTGAATTTAGTGTTCATATTTATTTAATCATTTGATAAAATTTGAAAGTGCAGTAGGACAAGGCAGTCACTTAAAACCAACTAAATTGTGATTTGCTTGACTTAATTTCTCATTTTCACAGTATTTTATCTGCTAGAGTCTACAAATAAACACTCTGACATAACAAATGATAAATGTCACATAAAATACAATGAGGTAGCAGAGCAGAAGTTGACTGAGTTGGTGTTTCAAATATTTTATATGAACAAATGGAAGAAAAGTTAATATCTAGAGAATGCATTACTTTTTTCATTTGCATATTAATCTAAAAACGTAGTGAACTCTTTTATTCATATATTGCTTGACTACATAAGCAAGGTTCTGGGTCAGGTTTAAGCATGTACTGAAAAAGTCTAATGTATCTCTCAAAAAAGTGCTTTAGTTATTTAGCATTATTTTAACTTCATATGCTGCCATTTGTTGCTTGGAAAAATCCGACTTGATCTATCATATAGGAAGCATAACTTCTTAATTCAATGAGCATAGATGTCACTAATAATTCCTCTTTCACATTAATTTATGATGCTATCTTTTCTTCATTATGTAAATTGAGGCTTATTTTCATCAAATTATTAAGAAAAGTGTAACAAATATCTTACTATGTTTTCCAAGATGCTTGTCTTCTTTCACAAATGGAACTTTATCCTTATAATGAATTTTGAGTAAAACATGACTATGGTGTGGAGGCAGGAAGAAGAGCTAAGGGAATTTTTCTAAGTTTTGAAAAATTTTATAGTGATTTTCTTCTATTTGTAATCTGGCAAAGTTATTTTAACAAGAATAAGTAACTTCTGATTCTGCATATATTACACAGTAAAAGAACAATTCTTAGAAAGTTTCTGTTACTGAAGTCAACAGAAATTTTAAAGCATATCTTGTTATCCATATACCATAAAAATAATGGGTTATAATGCTAAAGTGGTTTCTTTTTATAAATACCATAGAACCCTGGAAAAAGCTCTCTTCAAGGTTTTGTCTTATATATGAAACCATATATCGGTAACCAAACTCTCTTTGCATCTAGATAAAGATAGACTGTATTACATCAAATTCTGAGATATTGCCAAGTTACAGTTTATAGAATGTTTTAATATTCTTCGATGGGAAATATTTTTTAAGAAAAGAACTCTAATAAGATCAACAGAAAATAATGGAAATAGGCATGAAATTATCATTTAACATTTTAAAACCAAAATATCATTAAATAAACTCACCAGGGATTTTTTTTCTACATCTTAATATTTTATATTCTTTAGTTTTAAAATCTGGAAATTTAGTGATATATGAATGAAACAAATCTCACTTGTTCAGATTACAAAACTCATCTAATCTTAGCCAACTTCTTAGTAACAAAATGTTCACTTACCTATAGCTATTTGAATCAACAACAGATATTAAGCTGGTATTTATCTTGGACCGATGGGAAAATGAGGATTTAGTTTTGTAGACTGGTAATTCAGAAAATGTGCCTGGTTGCCTTTTTTTCCCGTCACTCCTCTTCATTGAACTTTTGTGAAACTTCCTTTCCTCACCATGACCAGACTCTTGTTGACTTTTCTCTCTGCTGAAGGAGAAAAATACTCCCTTCATCCATGTAGACAAGTTTAAAACAAGGCAGTTGCTCCCTCCTCCTCCTCTGTGTAGGCTGGTTAATCAACCTGTGTTGCATAGCATTGCCATGAACATGCAGGAAGCCCTGTGCAGGTGGTTTTCCTCCTGTCTCTGTTGTGTATCATTTTTTTCTCTTTATTTGATTCATGGTTCTGAGTGGATCCCTATCACCACGTCCACCAAGACTTCCATGTACCCCACAACCCTTTCACCTCTGTCACATTGTGATGCCTGAAAAACCAAGTGGATTTTTTCCTACTTTGTCTACTTTTTAAATCCTTTACCTAACATCTTTTTAGATTTTTTCCCCTCGTGCTACTGCTCTAAAATCTAATAATCATTTCTTTACAAAGATTGAATTTATTTTGCTTTGCTATAAATTTCATGTGGAAAAGTAAGAATTACAATTGGGTAGCATTGCTCATACATACAGTTTTGAGAATAAGTTATAAGTAATCATAAAAACTGGTTTCTTATGCCTTGCTGTATTCAGTCCACCACAATATGGATTTTGCATGCTAAAAGTAGAAAGATAATAAATTTGGCCATGGAATAAGTGTATTTTATATAAGGACAATTAAATTTATATCAGATTAAATTAGTCTATATATTTAAGACTTAAATATACTAAAAATTGTTTTTTATTAAAATTAAAATTTTGTTATTAAATAATTAAAATTACCAAAACTGATAGAAACAATTTATATCTTAATTATTCTATTTTATTATAGTTTATACTAGTCTTTTATTTCATTGTATTACATTTAATTGTGCTAATTATCAACTTTATTCTATAATTCATCATACATTTTCATACCTGATATAATTTAAGTCATTCCATGTGTTTTTATTTGATGTACTCTAATTCATTCCAGTCAGTCCAAATGTACTGTCTTCCATAGGTTGTCCTTCCCTTCAAATGGAACTGGAAACTCCCACAGGGTTGCACTACACACCACCCACCCCTTTCCAGCAAGATGATTATTTTAGTGATATTTCTAGCATAGAATCTCCCCTTAGAACCCCCAGTAGACTGAGTGATGGGGTAGTACCTTCCCAGGGAAACATAGCACATTCAGCAGATGGACCTCCAGTCGTAATTGCAGAAGACACTTCCTTAGAAGACAGCAAACTTGATGACTCAATGCCTTTAACAGAAATGCCTGAAGCAGTGGATGTAGATGAGAGCCATTTGGAGACTGTATGTCTGAGTGAGTATTCTCAATACCTCGGAAGTATGGCTGGGGTCCCATCACCAGAGCCAATGAAACAGACTAGGAAAATAGGAGTAAGCTCTGAGCAGCAAGAGAAAGGAAAATCTGGTCCTGATGAGGAGATGACGGAAGAAACACTCAAATCTCTGTTTGAGGACATTCAACTTGAAGAAGGAGTAGAGTCTGAGGAGATGACAGAAGAAAAAGTACAGGCTATTCTTAAACGTGTTCAGCAAGCAGAACTGGAAATGTCTTCAATTACAGGTTGGCAGAATGAGACACCAAGTGGAAACCTAGAGTCCCCTGCTCAAGCTCGGAGAATAACTGGTGGGTTACTAGATCGACTGCATGACAGGTATGGCTCTGCTTCAGAAAAAGGAAAGTGAAACACAGGTTACATGTTAATATTTATTTTAAATAAATGCTTTTTAACAATTACTCTCTTCCTAGATTACCATCCCAGTTTTGGGATAATAACCTGCTTTTGAGATTGGTTCATTCTGCTAATCTGGAGAGGGAAAGTTCCATTAAACTAAAATATAATTCTTAGTCTGAAATAAAATGCAAAAACTTTTACATACATGCCAAAGATTTTTACTGTAGAGGACTACTCTTTTCTAGATTATTACTTCTTATATTATTCTTTTCACATAGCCTTAATGCTTATTCAAAATAATATAGTAAATAAAAGTCCAAGTCTTTTAGAAATATAAACATTTCTACTGTTGCCTGACTTAAAACAAAAATATGCTTATTATGTAAAATTTTAAAATACAGATTTAAAAAATCAATACAACTCCATCCTCTAGCAATAATCACCATTACAATTTTGTCAATTTCTTTTACATACACTTTTTTAAATATTTTGACTTAGAAAATGCAGAGAAGCAAAAAGAAAAGTCATCTGTCCTCTTACCATACTAAGAACACTTAACATTTTATATATCCTTCTTTTTTTCTGCATGAACATTTTACATAACTTGCAACATGGCAAATGTAATTCTTTACTCCAAATAATATTGCCATGAAAGAAATCTGATTATTACCAAGATAATTCCCTGATTGTGAATCTTATTCTTTTTATACTGGCCTTATTCTAGAAAGGTGAAAGTCTAGTGTCCTCCAGACATTGGTTCAACTCTCACCACCATTAGGTTTGCATTTTGTGACTTCAGATAAATTCCTAAGCTCAAAGAACATCACTTTACCAAGCTTTAAAAATAAGACTACTGCTACTTCCCTAAAACAGATTTACTGATTGAAAAAAGAAAGCCCGTAGCATACCTACCAAATGACTGGTACAAATAGTCTCTTGATAATGGTTAGCATTACTTTTATTGATGCACACAGCAAACAAATATTTTTTACTTTGGTGGTAACTAGTGGTAATTTGAATGCAAAAACTGAGGTCATTTCAAAACCATATTTTCGTATTGTTGATAAGCTTCTTGCTCAATAAAAACTCCAAAGAGAGAGTTTGCAAGACTCCTTTTGAGGAACGGTAACATCCTACCAAAAAGATCATTACAAAGACAACAGATAGTACTAATTTTGCTGTCTACATTCAATATAGTCACATAATTTACAGTTGCAAAGTAGGAAATAGAGGTAAATATAGTTATTCTATAGGAGCTTCACAGTATGCTGGGACTGTTTGTCCTTCCACAAAAAGAATAGGGTGTGCTGTTAATTTTTTTTATAAATATATTTAATCAGAATTGTATTTACAAGAATACATACATATAATGTATATAATACATATATATGTATAACACATATAAAACACTACAGTAGTTATTACCTTCAGAACTCTACAGATGACAAAGACATCTGACAAAATAATAAAAAGTTTACAAGTAAAAGTCTATTCTGAAACTAGTAAAAATTAGAAATCAATTTAAAAGAAAGTTTTGGAAGACAAAGTTTTTGAATAGTTGGAAGGAACACAGTCCTCACAGGAAGTAAGAGCAATGAGCAAGCACCAGCACCCTGACCAGTGAGAGACAGCAGAGGTCAGGAGGGGAGAAAGATGAGAACTAAATAAGGGTAGTAGGGTTAGAAAAGCATGATGGCAGGATTCACAATTGGAAACATATACAAAGACTGGGATTTGGGGTTCTAGGCATGCCAGAGCCCTAATCACAAGAATTCACTCTCTACTCTGTCATCAGTGTTTTCACTGGCAGTATAAAAACATTTAAGATATCCTCTTTTAAACTGGTGGATCTGAAACTCAGGATATGTCCATGAATCTCTCAGGATTACTTCCTAAGATACAGAATGCAAATAGCTATAGAAGCGCAATTAGACCTAACAAAGCCAATGACAGCACAGCCAGCCAGGTCAGGAGTTGGAGTGCAGGGGATGCCTGGCACCTGTGTAGCACCTCACCTTTATACTCCCACACCCATGAAAGCCCCTGATTTTGAAATCCAGTGACTGAATTTTTCATGCCTTTCTATCTTATGCCTTCAAAAGCAGTTTAAAACATGGTTGTTTAAAATATAGTGCTTACGAAGCCCATTTTCAGCCATATGTTACCATTGTAAATTTCAACAATTTATCATTTGCAGCCCTGACCAGTGTAGAGATTCTATTACCTCATATCTCAAGGGAGAACCTGGAAAATTTGAAGCAAATGGAAGCCATGCAGAAGCCACTCCAGAAGCAAAGACAAAATCTTACTTTCCAGAATCCCAAAATGACATAGGAAAACAGAGTGCTAAGGAAACTCTGAAACCAAAAATACATGGATCTGGTCGTGTGGAGGAGCCAGCATCATCATTAGCAGCATATCAGAAAGCTCTAGAAGAAACCAGCATGTTTGTAATAGAAGAGCCTAAACCCTGCGTGCCTGTCAGTATGAAAAAGATGAGTAGGACTTCTCCTGCAGATGGCAAGCCAAGGCTTAACCTCCATGAAGAAGAGGGGTCCAGTGGGTCTGAACAAAAGGTATGTCATCTAGTTACCCAGTAGGCTGTCATTTAAACGAAGTACTAATGCTTCACTTCTTTTGATTAATCTTGTAGCACTGGGTCCAAGGCTCTTTACTATTTCCAAATTATAAATGCATGATTGAAAATTATAACACTAATGGTGGGTGTAAACAAAGTAAAGTAAAATGTATGCTATTTTATCATACCTTCATTCATTGGGTAAGAAGAAGAAATAAGCATCTCATATAGCCATTTTCAGGAGGGAAAAGAACTACAGAGATGTTTAGCAAATAGCTTGAGGCCCTGTATTAATTTTGTCATCTTTCTTATGAAAGTGGAATTATTCTGAACCTTTTTGGTTATTATGCATAACAGAGTTTATAGCATGTGAGCCATCTAAGATGTTCTATAGGGTCTGTTGTCGGAAAGTAAGTTTTAAAAATTGAAGGAACAGTTCCCAAGCCTAAAATAAGGTGTGTAAATACTACTGTTGGTTAATATCACTTAGAAATTTAAAGTGTCACTTTAGGAATTTTTAAACCTTACTGTCATAGAATAATTTACTTGCTCTTTGTATGTATGTTTTTATGGTGTTGTCTAATAGATTTTTTTTAGTTCTTTGAGGTTTGTCATTTTTAGATATTAAAAAAAAATCTTAAGCTGAAATTATGACTCATAGATGGAGATAATAAAAATCAGCTCTATTTCCTGTGCTTTTGACTGCTTTTTATTCTCTCAATTTTTGTGTCTTTTCATGAACCACTCAATATATGTAGATTCAGTTACATGTCTTTGGAATAGTAGCACTTCAGTTTTCCCTAAAACATTTAGTTTACCTAAACTATTGAGTCCATGATTAATTTGAGGTTTAGAAAAAATTACAATAAACTCCCAATCATTCAGGAGTAACTTATCAGTTAATCATATCTTTTCCTTTCCCTTCCACAGGCTGCCTTTTGACCATTTTCTAGCCTGTTAGGAGGGAAAGTGAGAGGAAGTAAAATTCTCAGGCCTTTCTTTCACTTCCTTCCTGACAAGTGTGGTTTTGAATATTGATTTTTGTCTTTTAGTTAACTCCTAGCATATTTAAGCAGTATGACTTTGGATGTTGCCTTTTAAAATGGGTCCACAAAATATAGGGAAAAGCAATAACATAGTGATGTTTTAACTATGAAAATTTATTCTGCATAAGCCTATTAAAAATCAGTAGAGATGTTTTTAAAGTAAATTATAAATAAACACTCCCATGTGATACGTGTGCAAAAATAGTGGCCATTGCAGAATAAGGGAAAAGGCATAAAGAAGGTTTGAAAATGAAAAATCTTAATCCTGAATGGAAATTCAGCTGAGTTCATCAGTAATGGGAAACAATTATTACTAGAAAATGTGTTCAAGATTTCTTATGAATGAGTTTGTGCCTTTGGTACTGGTCATTGTTCCTATAATGCAAATGGCTTCATGAGCATCAAAATGTATAATGGAGTCTAAATTTCTAGGAGATATGGGCCTGACCTCACAAAAAATCCAAAGATGTTAAGGATGTTGTCTTTTGTGGCTAGACCATAATACAGTAGCATCATCTAGGTCATCTGATCTGTGATCTCAGAAAACAGCCCCTTTTTGTCCCCTAAAAAATCAGGTCAAAAGTCCGGCTGCGGCTCTTAAAAGGATGACTGCCTGCTGTTACAAGGTAAAATTCTGCTATTTTCCACCTCTTTCCATGAAGCAACCTAGGGCAAGGAGAACTGAGAAAATTCCATTTGGTCTCCTAGTTATACTCTTTGCTAGTTCCTAGCGAGCTCTGAAGGGAATCCTGATCAAGATTCTACTGCCATCTTCTCTCCACCCTACACTAAGATTACAGCGACTCCAGGGAGAGAGTGGAAACTGACACACTGGTCAAATAGCCACTTTTTTTTCCTATTAAAGGGCTGGTCTCAGATGATTCTTGATAAGATGATGATATAACTGACATCTGGTTTGTTGTTAGTGTTTGCATAACAAATGTTATTCTGCTTTTAAATTTACCCAAGTGAAAAACTTCCCCTGTTTAATGTTCCATGCATGGATAATTTAGATTGAATTTCTCTTATCTATTAATCCCTGAATGCTGATTAGTTCATTCTTTTTTTTAACAATATGAATTCCTCATACATTTTTCTGCCTTTTGGGCCATTGTAGGGCCTCTTTTCACAATACTTAATCATTCTAAGTGTCCTGAATTGATAGTTCTTTTCTTAAAAAATTTAAACATAGTAAGAAAGTTAGTAGCCAATATGCAAGGAGTAAGAAATTTGACAATTATTTTCTTATGACAACATATTATTCACTAGAGTATTTTGTTCAGATGAAATTTCCTACCAAGTTAAGGTTGATATTACCGTAAATAAGTTTAAAATAATAAAGTAAGTTTACCTTTGGTGGAAAATGGACTACTTTACTATCTATTTGACTAACATTTCATACCTCCTGTAATAATTTTACTTTTCTCCCCTATTTTTACCAATACTTCCATTGTTTTTTCAAGTAGATATTAACTATAACTTCTATCTCCAGAACTATCAGATTTGGGGTAACAAATCTAATTCTAGAATTATTTTCAGAATTCTACCTTTAAAATTTAGAAATAAAATCATTCAGTAAATACTCTTCACCATGATATTTAAGAAGAACCCAAAGATATTTTTCCCTTTGAATTATAAACTGTTTGCCAGTTAGCAGTTTTTCCTTATTGCTATCCTTATTACCTAAAGGTAACATTTTGTGCAGTTACTGTATTCCTGTCCAAACCACCATATTATGATCTATCAAATGATTATTCTGTTCTAGTTTCATAATAATTCTAAGACATCAAGCTTTCGCATGTTTCACATCATTCATCTGAGTAAACTCTTACTGAGTACCAAGTACATAATAGATACCAATTAGCTAATCCATGTGGCAAATTATGCTGATACAAAGTTGTCAAATCTGATCAAAATTTTATAAAAATCAGAAATACTGTGTCTCTGTAGATCACGTAAACATGGCTCAAACTATACATTCAAGTCAAATATATATAGACTTAGTTAAAAATGAATATTGATGTTTCTTCAGACTAGTAATAGTATGCAGTTTGATGCCAAAGTTTCTGTAATTTTTATTTTTAATAATTTATATGTAATTTAATTACCCTGAACTATACACACACACACACACACACACACATACAATACACAGAGCAATTTCAATTAAACTCATCCTCAGAATTTTCTTCCACTGAAATTTGTTGAAGATTTTCATGAATCTACATCATGATTTTCCTTAAGGCAGAAAACCAACAAGTAAAAGTAATTCTTTTTTGATTTCCCTTCTCAGAATGTCTTTTATTTTAAATGTGATGGTAAAATTATACTAAAAATGCATTTATCAGGACTTGAAAGACAGTGAGAGTGATGCAAGCTCAGAGGAAGAACGGAGAGTCACTACCCGTGTTATTCGCCGGCGTTTGATTATAAAGGTATCCCATAGCCAGATCATTGTGTGGCACTGCTGTATTATTAGGAAGTCCTATCTTGTGGTTTTGAAAATTCAGCATGCTTGGTAACTAAATGGCTCTGTATATGTTTCCTTGCACATCTGAAAGCTTATAAAAACAGCCACCAAAAGGAAAAAGTCATGTTGCATGGTAGTGAGTATTCTGTTTAGGCCTGTGTTTGACAAGTGACAGTTGTAATTTTATCTGAGAATTCTTGGCATTTGTATTCTGTGTTCCCTGAAGACACGTACTACATGTGCGAATGAAGATTCTAGTGAGAGAACAGTTCGTATCAAATGAAATGTTCAATTGAAACCTCAGAAGCTATAATGAGGTATAAGGTAAAATGAAGAAGAAAGAACATGAAAGAATTAAAAGGCTCAATTCTCAGTCTCAAATTCCTACTGCCTTAGATGAAAACCAGTTCTTCATTTCATACCAATCAATGAGTGAGAATTTGGAGTTACAGCCTGGCACAGTTATAAGTGCCATAATGCAAATCAAGCAAAACCTTCTGAAATAAGTTAGATTTTAACTAACATACAAAAACAAACAAACAAACAAAACCAGGCTGTATTTTTAAGTATAGGAAGTAATTTTTACTATAAGTGAAAAATATAATTCCATCCTGTTACAGCACAGTTGAACACTGTGAATAAATCTTGATTTCCCTGACAAAGGCCTTTTGAAGCCCTGACCTTATGCATAGTAAGGTCCAGCAGAATGCCTCTCGCAGTCTGCTGCTTGTCTTCATCACTCTGTCTTTAGTGAGATCTTTCTTGATGTTAGAATAATTGAGCACAGAAACTAAGAAACCATTTTCAATACACAGGCCTTTGAATGTGGTCCAAATAACTTCAGGCTTCTTGGTTGACATCTCTGCAGAGAAAGAAAGGAAGGAAATACTGATTGAAAATCACAAAATGGATGATGAAAATCTGTCATCCATTTCTAAAGTGTCAGGAGACCCCAAAGAGAGCAGAGAAGTTAGCTTAGGTATCCAAAGTTTCTTAATCCTGCAGCTTGTACTTTTCATGTAAATCAGATGAGAAGAAAATCTGACAAATCTGCTCTAGTAGTTTTTCTAAGATTCTGGAAACATAAAGGAAGAATAGAAGTCCTTGTCTAAATTTTAAATGATCTCCAAATCAACCTTGAGTTCAATAGGCAGCTATCAAAAAATGCATGGATTAATTCTTTGAAAATTCCATACAGGCAAACACAATTATCTATTAGTATCTAGCACATTTGCAACTATTCAGGCAACTCCCACACATTCCCTGGGATTAAGGGGAAGAAATACTTGACTTAGTTTTTCTTAAGGCATTAAAGCCATTCTCTTTCCTCTTTCCAGAATATATGTCTTCAAGAATTGATATTTTAAGGTGAAACATCTAGAAAAAGCACAGACATACAACAGTTATGCTTAACCTATGACATATTCATGTTGCATCCACCTCATTTCTTTACAATAGCTGCTCATTATTGAAGTTGATGCTCCTCTAGATATAGGACAGAAGAAAATAAACATAATCCTGCAAAAAATATGGGAGGAAGAGGGTAAAGAAGTTTTACTAGGTAGAATACAAAAACAATAAAAACATCAACCCTTGCCCCCATGCAGGTCACTGAGGGTCATTTCTTTTGGTCGCCTAAAATTCTACACATGCATTAGCAAGTTAGCTTTTAAGTAGTAGTGTAAACGCATACATTTGAGCTTAATATATGATTAATCGTATATACTGTGTTAACATTTTTATTAAGAGCTTAAGTTTAAAAGACCAAAATACATTATGATGTTATAGGCTTCATAAAACAGAGGAGTCTGCATTCTCTCCAAGTCCCCATCTTCTTGAAGTTAATGTAATTTTGGGGAAGTTGAGTGGAATCATCAGAGAATGGGTTTTATAACTGAGAAGAACATTGTATAAAGATCAAACAAGCTTTGAGAAATGTCTTTTACATGTAACAGAGCAATCAAAAGCTAAATAATAACTAGAGTTAATTAGAAGCTATAACAAAAAATCTTTATGAATTAAATATATAAGAATCTTTCTGGTTAATATTTTTCTATTCAAATTTTTGGGGCAGCTGTTGCCTTTCTCTTTACTCCATATGTTCGTGTCTTTCTAATGTAAAGAAGAACTGAGACTGCAGTAGTGTATGATAAATATGACATGGAAACCGTCTATGTCAAAAACATCTAATGAGAATGTTAGGATGTAAAAGGATCATCGATATTAAAATCACTAGCCTTCCTAGATGACAAAATTGAGTATTGGAGATGAGTCAGTTTACCCAAAATCACACAAGGCAATAGCATTTCTGGGATCAGAATCTAATCCATATCCCCCTAGTGAAGTTATCTTCTACCTGCTTTTTCCACAATAGTATATTCTTTCTCATTCCTAGAAGGAATAACTGTCCTTGACTAAATTAGGCACTTGGCCATTTAGACCCTTGCAGCAGCAGAGAAGAGAGCAGCACTGCCTGTCTTTCCAGGAAAACTGGTTGGCCGGAATGCCAGTAGTTTGACCTACTTCATGGAGGCAGTCCAGCATATGCACACTGTTTGTCATAGTAACCCTCTTAGCACTCAGAATCTCTGAGCTGAAAACTATTTTGGGGTTGTCCCATCCCTCCCAGGGAACTCAGTGAAAGCAGGTAGGAGTACTCTGGATTCCATTACCACAAATCAGTCTTCTTAGCCACTCAGTTTGCATCAGAAACGGGATGAAAGTACAATTTTATGCTTTTTCTCGTTAATTTCATGTATAGATAAATTCATTTTACTTTTATTTTTTACAAGTAATATTTTGAATCCTTGAGGAATGAATGAAATTAACAAACTCTCCCATTTGTTTTGGAAATTTTTAGACTTCTATAAGCATATTCGTTTAACTTGATAATATCACAGAGGTTGCAAATGCTTGGAAGCAGTTTAACCAGAACTGCAAGTTTGTTTACATTATTTGCTTAGCAAATTCAGTGATTACAAAGGTAAACTTTAAACCATCTCACAGCCAAACTGTTGTGAACTTTGGTAAGATTGAAGTAACTGAATATTTACTCTATAGCTAAACTGTATTTCTTTTCTACAGTTGAACTTTTCGATTGCTTGATTTGGGGAAAACATACATGTAAACTCTTATTTCAAAAGTATGTGAGTTCAGTCTACCGTTTCCCAGAGGTAACCACTGTTCACATGCTTCAGATGACTTATATACATACATAAATAGTATATAAAATATACATGCATGCACACATCCCAAGCAAGTGGGTTTCCCAGAATATAAAAATGGGGGTTTACTATACACACAGTCTAGTATTATTCCACTCTAGGAGAGAGGAATAAAAATCATAAAAGGCAGTGCTGCCAGCAGAGATCCAAAGGGAAGTGCAGTTAGTCTTCACTGGTGACCAGATATGCTTTAATTTTCCTCTGAAATAGGAAAGAAAAGGGCGAGGGGCTGTTGTCAAAAATAATGTCACTAAGACCAGCAGAGTATTTTTACTTAAAATATGAACTATTTTCAAGAGCTTTAGAAACTATGCTCTCTCACTAAAGAGAGACCCCAAAGGATTCTCCTTGGTCCCACTCATTCTCTAATACATTCGATAGAATTAAAAATGGATGAATTTTTTTTTAACTTTTTTTGTGATTCCTTACTGTCTTTCCAGTCTATCTTATCCATTCCATTATATGTTTCTTCATAATCAGATAACTTATTTTGATCTTATTAAAGCACTAATTGACTATACTTAATGGCCATTTAAGAGATGTATCTCCACCTGTGTATGAATTTTCAATAGAAAACAAATCAAAATGCCTACATACCAGAATAGACCTCAACAATTTGTATAGCTTGTAATTTTTAATAGAGCTCTGCTTTTTTCCAAGGCTACTGGTATAAATCAGTATATGTATTCATTATGCTTCTAAATATACCTATCTCACATTCCTTTCAGAAACTGTCCCATTAATTGACATCTTTCTCAAAAAAGTGAATTCAAAACATACCCAATAGAATTCTAATTTACTGGCATTTTCCTGGGATCCTCCAGTTATCTTAACACTCAAAAAGCTGAACATTTTTCAAGGGTTACGTCAAAAGTATTTTATTTATTCATTTTTAAACTATAGCAAAACCTTCATGACCTTTTATTGGCTTTTCTGCTGTCTTTATTCCTTTACTTTAAAGATACAAGGAAATTATATTTTTTCCAAAAAATCTGAAACCAACTACAGGAGATATAAATAAGATTCCCATAAAAATTCAAAAAAAAAAACTGCAGAGTTGAGTGTGCTTAGGCATGAGGCCTCTACATTTTTCTGCTTTCCTTCCCTCTCTTAACTGGGCCAATTGAAACTAATCATAAGCAAGATTCAAGTTGAGCTCAACATAAGTAGCAAGTAACATCTTATTTTATTTTCATCCCATATCTATACCACAGTGAGGTAAAATAAATATGTCCCACCCATTGTCATGACCTTTAAACCTACAATCCATAAAAATACAGAGTCATTTTGTAAAATGAAAGAATGAAAACAGAATTTTTTAGCAAAACAAGATAGTGTTTTAGTTGTTACTGTCATTTTAAACCATAACAGTCTTTCAGTTGGTTGTGACTTAAAGCAATCACAGATTTTTCTCACCATTGGCTGGCACTGATAAAATTATCAGAGCTACTCACCTTTTCCATGACAATAATACTGAAAATTAGAATCCTGGCTCTCAGAAATGAGTTGTCTTCTTTGTGATCTGCCATTTTCCCTAAAAACAAAAAATAAAACACAGATGTGCAATAACTACAGTACTCTATACTGTAGCATTATTCAGGTCATCTATTCAACAAGAAGTCTAACAGGTCAGTAGGTCTCTAGAACAGGTCTGCACTTGGATGTTTGTCCTTTTTACCCTTAACTATAAGTGGTGCTAATCTAAAGCTGAATACCAGTGAGGAAGAAAATGTGTTGCAAATACAGTCCTATTTTTACTGAGTGGCTTTTCTCATTACACAATCATAGAACTAATAGATTTCAAGGAGCCATGTAAACCTACCAAGCTGCCTATGAGCAGGAAAATATGAACCAACCTTGGAGAGTTAAGAATTTATTCCATTTCTTAAACTCACCAGAGGAAGATCTTTGACAGTTTCCTCTTCTCAGTCAGGTAACAGTCACTAAACTGAAAAGGATATCATCATCTTACATTCCTTTAGTACTGGTGTTTTTGTTTTGTTTTTGGCAATGGAGATTGGATGGCCAGTCATCACATAAGATTCCTTCACTTGAAGATAGTATTCTGAAACTGTACTTCATCAGACTTACTCTCACTAAAGACCTATGAAAGGCTCAGCCTTTAAAAAAAAAAAAAGTAAGATTTTCTCTGCAGCCTGAACTTTTATCATCACAGTCCTTCAAAAAAATGTAAATATTACCCTTAATAAATACATTTTTAAGTGAAGCTAACAAAGCATGATAAATATAACATCCCAACTAAGATACTATCTTAATTCAAATTAGACAAAATAGAATCCAAAAATGACTTAAGATAGGACTAACAAAGAAACCCTATACTCAAAATGAGATGATCTATTTAAAGCTCTAATTCTTGGCTAAAATTTTTTTCAACATGTGAAATTTTTGACTTGTAGATAAATATGTAACTGCTTTCTCTAATTATATATTTTCAAGTTCTTCCATCTTGGAGTTTGTTGCTAACCATCATTCTTGTACATACTTGAGGTTTAATGCTTTGACTGTTAGTGACTGCTATCAGAGGAGTCAGCCTCTTCCCCTTGCAATGGAATTGCCAGTTGAATTTATACCTTCTTTTTTCTAAAATTCCACAGAACATGTGTGTGGTGTATGGAGTGGTGTGGTGATCTATTTAGTATGTTGCTAATCTGTATGCCACATCCTTTAGGGAGAGGAAGCAAAAAATATTCCTGGAGAATCTGTGACAGAAGAACAGTTTACTGATGAAGAAGGCAATCTCATCACAAGAAAAGTAATCATCACTGATATTTCATGCTTCTTTTGGAATTTAGATTTTCTACTATTTGCTTGCTGTAGTGTCACCTCTTGAAACAGAAAATGGAAAATCTCTACTTTTCACTATTGCTTCCTACAGATCACTCGGAAAGTAATAAGACGAATTGTTACCCCACCAGAGAGAAAACATGACGACATGGTAATGGAGAGGGACTGCCAAGAGAAAGTAGAAGATTAAAGCTTTGTGAATTCTGTAGAATATGCTGCTAAAAGGCTGGCTTCTGCAGTGTGTCAGCTTTAAGTGTTTGCTGCTTTTGATATGCATTTGATCAGGGCCAAAGACAGACTTTTCTTCCTAACATTTCTTAACATTATATATTACTACTTTCTTCAGAGTTTTCCACAGAGATTACAATGCGCTGGTTCGAGCACATGAGAGAAACCCTCTATCATCACTAAACACTTATATTTATAACAGTGTCTTAGTGCCCACCCAGTGCTTTAACTGCAGCCAAGTGCCTCCCTGGGATGTTGATGCACAGCACTCGATGGAGAGCACTCGTTTCTAGCAGATGCACAGGGTTTAAGTGTTAGAATGGCAAAAAGCTCAGTTCAAGATCCTTATATCAAGTCTATACATTTCCCTTTCCAATATATTCTACAGGGAAATCCAATTCACCCATCTTGACTCGAGGAGGGGTCTCCTCTTTGGGTTTATGAAAGCCCATTTCCAATGTCCAATTAAAGAACCAAACTTATCACTAAGTAGTGTACTTTAACAAATGAATCTCCATCTCCTAGAGAAAACATCTCTGGTTATCTTTTCATTTCTTTCCTTTTCTCAGATCTTTATTCTTTTCATTTTAAAAATGGAAACTTCATAGTTTCATAGTGTTTACATAAGTGAAATGATAATTTCTCAGGAGGACTAAATTAGAAAACTGGAGAGGCTTCTGTGTTTTTCATCATAAATAGGAAAAACTTGAGTGTTTGTACAACTTTGCCCTCAGAGAGGTGTGTTCCTGGTGCTCAGTGAAAAGAGGTCTTATTTTATGGAAAATGGGTGTCTGCTTGGTCTGGAGTAAGAGGGGTTTGGTAATTCCAGAATTCTTTTTAAAAGTCTTGTCAGATCAACAGTTCCACACTGCATTACTGCGAGTGCAGCTATGTTGTCTTCATTCTGATGGGGCTCTCTGTAGCTTGCCTTGATGCTAGGCTGTGTGGTTAAGCCAAATAGATGGTGTGTATTTTTGGATATAAAGTTCATGATCAGTGCTTTACTAAGAAACTTCAGTCTCATTATAGATCACTTAAAATTCTACTGGCTTAAAAAGGCATAAATTACTAATATGTTTTATTATCAATATTGAAGTGTCTTGACAGTTTTAGTGATAATTTCTTCTAGTTTGCTATATGACTGGACAGGCTGCTCATTTTTTTTATTTATCGCTAATCACTAACATACTGCATTACTGCGAGTGCAGCTATGTTGTCTTCATTCTGATGGGGCTCTCTGTAGCTTGCCTTGATGCTAGGCTGTATGGTTAAGCCAAATAGATGGTGTGTATTTTTGGATATAAAGTGACAAAGTGCTTTAAACTGTGTTTCCCTTATCTTAATCCAGCCTCAAGGGACCAGAATGAGACCTGCTTTTAAACTAAAACCTTTTCACTGTAAAATCTTAATATTTGCATTCCTTTTAAAGCAGGGAGAAGGTTACAAGGTGAAGACAAAGAAAGAAATCCGGCATGCGGAAAAGAAGACTCACTCATAACAGTTAATGGTTAGGCAAGGTAAGTGTGCTCCCATCAGTAACAGGACTTAACTTCCCATGAAACTTCTAATTTCACTAAATAAGTGATTTAGATCTTCCTCCTGTTTTACACTGCATTCCAGCTCTTAATATCCAAATTTTTTGTAGTTTTATATTTATGTATGCATATGTACACTAAAATTGACCCTGTTCACAGTCCACAAACTTTCTCCTCACAAATTAGTCAGTAATTTAAATGTAAATGATGTCTGCAAAAACAAATGTAAACAGTACTTTTTGAGTGTAAGAAATGCAGTAGCATCATACAATCTAAACTATTTGGCAACAAATAATTCTTACAAATGTACTCTGACATTTGTATTGATCCAGCCTTTCATCATTTTAGGAGAACAGCATCTGAGAATATAGTTTCAATTGAAATATAGTGGTTGCTAAGTTTAAATAATTGAAACCCTATACACTACTTTATATAATATATAAACTAAAACAAATTCAATAGGAGGTTAACATACTATTTTTTACTTAAATGTGTAATGAGCTTTGTTTAAATATGCCTGAGCTTTTCCTCACAAATATTTTCCTTTAACATTTTCTAAATCTTTGTCCTATTTCTTTCTACATATTTACAATTAGGCCATTTGAGGTGAAAAAGCAGATAGCACTTTGAAAATTCTCTGTGAGTCTGTAAGGTAAAGCCGGGTGATTTCTTTGGAGCTGTTCACCAACAGTTCTCTCACCCCATAGGTCAAAATAATAAGGAGCTAACAGATTACAGTTTTCACTTTCATACACCTGCTGTTCCGCAATTACCAGAATCCTCATGTTTGTAGTGCTGAGGTAAGGAACTGAAAAATCTAGTCTCTTGCTCCTAATTTATTATGTGAGGTAACTAAGGCTCAGATAAATTCGTAACCACTCCCTCCCAAAAAACCTTATCATTTGTTTATTCACCCAAAGATTTATTTTACCTCCTCTCTGTGAGGCTTTCTGCATAGGCACTGAGAAATCATTGGTAAACAACCCTGGCAGGGTACCTTACATGCTGGAGATTTAATGGTAACCAATCATAACTAAACACATCAGTATTTAATGCATTGACAAAACTACCAAGAACTACAGAGTACACAGGGAACAATAATATTGACTCTACATACTCTTCCAAGTGTTTCACAGGTGCTCTTCATTTAATTCTCACAACCAGCCCTTTTGGTTAGGTCTTTCATCATCCCCATTTAACAGGTGAGGACACAGACCCCACAGGTTGTCTTCTTTCCTACAGATCTCTAAGCTGTTCTGTATCTTCTAATCTAAGATCATCTACATATTCAGCAGCAGCCCTCTAGCATATTTGTTCAATTTTACCTCAAAATATTTTAATCCAGTGGATTAAAATCCAATTTAATATCAGTGGATGAAAGAAACTTTCCTTTATTGTTTATTAGGTAATAATCTTTTGTAAATATATGACCATTCACATTTAGAGCCCCTTTACTTCTTAGCTACTATATACAAAGTTTGTAACACACATTGTGTAGGTAGTGAGGGGAGTATAATGATTTAAGATATTATCCTAAGGGTCTGTCACTCTTTTGAGGGTACTGCTTCCCACTATAACTTAACAGTCCAAGAGGCAAACATGATCATAAGTAACACACATCAAAATATGTAACTATAATAAGATATATTTACAAAATGCTTAGGGAATCCACTGGAAGATGTAATTAACTCTAACAGAGGAGATCTTGCAAAGCCTCTTGAAGTGCATATTTGAACTGGGTTTTGAGGAAAAAGTAGAATTTGAGACAGCAGTATGAAGGAGCATATGTTCTGTGCTCAGAAGTTTGGTTCCTGCTAACACTGGGGTACTCCTGGAAGTCTTGTGGTAGGAGAGTAATATGATCAGATGTGATTTAGGTAGCCGTAGTGGTGGGAGTTAGTTGAGAACAGTTTAAACGAAAGACCTCAGTTATGAGATACAGATGAGGGTCTGAACTGGGGCAGAGAACGAAAAGGAGAGGGCAGATTTGAGGAATATTTTAGCAGTATAAAAAAACAGGCTAATTCTATACAGGCATACCTCATTTTACTGTGCTTCTCAAATACTGCGTTTTTTATAAATTGAAAGTTTGCAGCAACCCTGCATCAAGCAGTTTCAACAACTCCATTTTCCAATAGCATTTACTCATTATCTGTGTCACATTTTGGTAATTCTCTCAATATTTCAAACTTTTTCATTATTATTATATTAATTATGGTGATCTGTGATCACTGATCTTTGATGTTATTATTATAACTGTTTAGGGGTGCCACAAACTGCCCATACAAGATAGCAGACTTAACTGATACATGCTGTGTGTTCTGACAGTTCACCTATTCCCCTCCCTCTCCTTGGAACCCTCCCTATTTCCTGAGACACAATATTGAAATTATGCTAGTTAATAAACCTACAATAGCCTCTAAGTGTTCAAGTGAAAAGAAGAGCCACACATCTCTCACCTTAATCAAAAGCTCAAAATCGTTCAGCTTAATGAGGAAGGCATGTCAAAAGCCAAGTTAGGCCAAAAAATAGCCAAATTGAGAATGAAAAGGGAAAGTTATTGAAGGAATTTAAAAGTGCTACTCCAATGAGCACACGAATGATAAGAAAGCAACAGAGCCTTATTGCTGAATGAAGAAAAAGTTTTAGTGGTCTGGATAAAAGATCAAATCAGCCACGCCATTCCCTTAAGCCAAAGCCTACTCCAGAGCAAAGCCCTAACTTTTTTCAATTCTGTGAAGGCTTAGAGAGGTGAGGAAGCTGCAGAAGCGAAGTTTAAAATTAGCAAAGGTTCGTGTTTGAGATTTTAGGAAAGAAGCCATCTCCGTAACATAAAAGTGCAGGTGAAGCAGCCAGTGGTGGCATAGAAGCTGCAGCAAGTTATCCAGAAGATCTAGCTCAGATCATTAATGAAGATGGCTGCAGTTAGCAACAGTTTCAGTGTAGATGAAACAGCCTTATATTGTTAGAAGATGCCATCTAGGACTGTCGTTCCAGAGAGGAAAAGTCACTGCCTAGCTTCAAAGGAGAGGCTGACTGTCATGAGAGACTGATGCAGCCAGTGCTCACTGACCACGCCAGAAACCCTAGGGCACTTCAGAATCAAGCTAAATCTTCTCTGCCTGTGCTCTTTAAGTAGAACAACAAATCCTGGATGACAGCATGTCTATTTACAACTGGTTTACTCAATTATTTTAAACTTACTGTTGAGACCTACTGCTCAGAAAGAAAAAGATTCCTTTCAAAATATTCCTGCTTATTGACAATGTACTTGATCAAGTAAGAGCTCTGATGGAGATGTATAATTATTGTTATTTTTGTGCCTGCTAACACAATATGCATTGTGTAGCTTGTGGATCGAGTCATTTTGACATTCAAGTCTTACACATTTTGTAAGGCTATAGCTACCATATATAGTGATTCTTCTGACACATCTGGACAAAGTAAGAAGAAAACTTTCTGGAATGGATTCACCATTCCAGATGCCATTAAGAACATTTGTGGGGGTATCACACTCCCTCACTTCAAGCAATACTACAAAGCTACAGTAATCAAAAGAGTATGTTACTAGCACAAGAACACACCCACAGATCAATGGAACAATATACAGATAAACCCATGCATACATGGTCAATTAATATACAACAAAGGCAAGAATATACAGTGAGGAAAAGACAGTCTCTTCAATAAATGGTGTTGGGAAAACTGAACAGCTGCATGCAAGAGAATGAAACTGGATTACTATCTAACACCATACACAAAAGTAAACTAAAAATGGGTTGAAGACCTAATATATATAATACACGAAGCCATAAAAAACTCTTAGAAGAAAACAGGCAAAAATCTCTTAAACATAAGCATGAGTAATTTCTTGCTGGACATGTCTCCCCAGGCAAGGGAAACAAAATCAAAAATGAACAAGTGTGACTACCTCAAACTAAAAAGCTTCTGTACAGCAAAGGAAACCATCAACAAAACAAAAACACAAATCAGAATGGTCGCTATCCAAGAGACAAGAAAGAACAAGCATTGGCAGGGATGTGGAGAAAAGGGAACTCTCCTACACTGTTGGTGGGAATGTAAATTGGTGCAGCCACTGTGGAAAGCAGAATGGAGGGTCCTCAAAAAAATAAAAACAAATACCATGACCTAATAATTGCACTTCTTGGAATTTACCTGAAGAAAACAAAATCCCTGATTCAGAAAGATATATGCACCCCTACGTTTATTGCCACATTATTTACAATAGACAAGACATGGAAGCAACCAACATGCTCATCAATAGGTGAATGGGTAAAGAAGATGTGATACATATATACAATGGAACGTTATTCAGCCATGAAAAAGAAATCCTGCCATTTGCACAACATGGATGAACTTGGTATTACATGAAGTAAAATAATCCAGGCAGAGAAAGACAACATATGATTTCACTTACATGTGGAATCTAAAAACAAAATAAAATAGCAATAGACTTATAGACACTGAGAAGTGACTTGGTGGTTACTATAGGGGAGGGCTTGGGGTAGGTGGGAGAAATAGGTGAAGGGGATAAAAAGGCACAAAATCTCAATCATAATATAAATTAGTCATGGGGATGAAAGTACAACATAGAGAACATAGTAATTCTGTAATATCTATGTTAACAGTAACTAATTGGGTGAGCATTTAATGATGTATATAACTGTTGAATCACTTGTACATTAGAAACCAATGTAATATTGTATATCAACTAGACATCAATAAAAAATAAATTTTAAAAATTGTGATTAATGGGAAGAGGAGTTCAGAAGTTGATTCCAAGCCTAATGGATGACTTTGAGGAGTTCAAGACTTCAGTGGAGGAAGTAACTGCAGAAGTGGTAGAAATAGCAAGACAACTAGAATTAGAAGTGGAACCTGAATGTGACTGAATTGCTGCAATCTTATGATAAAACTTGAACAGATGAGGAGTTGCTTCTTACGGATGAGCAAAGAAAAGTGGTATCTTGAGATGGAATATACTACTGGTGAGGATGCTATGAATATTGTTTAAATGACAACAGAGGACTTAGAATACTACATAAACTTCATTGGAAAAGCAGCAGCAGGGTTTGAGAGGACTGGCTCCCATTTTGAAAGAAGTTCTGTGGGTAAAATGCTGCCAAACAGCATCGCATGCTACAGAAGAATCATTGGTGAAAGGTAGAGTCGATGGGGCAAACTTTATTTTTGTCTTATTTTAAGAAATTGCCGCAGCTCACTAACCTTCAGCAACCACCACCCTAATCAGTGAGCAGTCATCAACATCATGAAAATTCATTGAATAGCTGTTTCTCTATGTTTTTAAGGGTTTCTTAAATTTAAAAATTATAGTTAAATGACTAAAACAAATTATCCATTTTCTAAGTTGGTTTCTACTGCATTTGGGTTTGAAAGGCATGCAGAACCCAAAGATAGATTCCTACATACAGATGCTTCCATCTCAGATCCATTAACTAAACCTAGAAAGGGAAGAGGACTCAAATTCTATTTCTGAAATGTCATCATGACTGCTCCTGCCCTCACAGCTTTCCATCAGATGGCGCTCTCATCACAGTTTATACAGAGTGTCAACTTTTATAAGGCATACATACGGTCTCAGCCAAGGCTCTCATGCTTTTTGTAGAACACTGTACTTTAAGTCTTCTGTCCAATGAATGACCTTCCTACACCACATGTGGTTGGGGCCAATGCATTCTGATTACATGACCGAGAATGAGAGTTATCCTAAGGGGAAGTAACTCTCAACTTTTTAAAAAAACTATCACCCAAATCATACCTGACTGTAAGTGGGCATAATTAATAGCATTTTTTAAATTATAGAAGCATATCAACTCTTTCTAGAAAGGTAACATTCACTTGCATTGAGATGATAAAACCTTGCTTTTTACTGCAAGATTAACCCAGGAAGTTGGATTGGTTTTTGGAAGATATGACACAAAACAAAAAGTTCAACTGGGTTATGGTAATGATTGCACATCTAAATAAATTTACTAAAAAAAATTATCAAACTATATTTACAAGAGATTGTATAGTATCAAGCTATGTCTGTTATTACTTATATATATCAATTAAGCTGTACAAAGTTAAGGAGATAGGTTCAATTAGAGAAAACTGCAGAGGTGTCTCCCTAAGAAACAGGGAGAGCACTGGACTAACATTATCAGAGGACCATCTAAGAACCCTAGTGCCTGGAAGATTAGGAGTAAGTGATAGTAACAGAGGTGAGAAAATCCTTATCTTACCCCGATTTGCCTACCTTCTGGAACATGGCCTGCCCAAATGAGTCACTTTCCTTCTTTGGAACCACTGCATGGTCATGGGAGGGAGGGAGATGTTGAAATCACCCCAGAAGAAATTGATACTTTCATGTTCTTGGCTCCAAGCTTTAGTGACGTGGAGCATGAAGGTCAGTAGCACTTTTAATACAGAAAAGGAAGCCAGAACTATAGTGAGGTAGACAGAGGAAGTGCTGTCCTAACATGTTTATATAAGCCAGGGTATCCTGGGTGATCTATCTAAAGAGAAGGAAACTTATCTGGGGCAAGTAAAGAACCTTAAGGTCACTGGGAACATGCTTGGATTAGATGCAGAATTCTAAAGATTCTCCTAGACACACAAAAAGTGTCTTTTGTTTATAGGTGAGTGAACAGGGTTGTTCCTAAAATTGTTCATGCCTTACTTGGGTTTTCTGTAGGGGCTATGTTTTGTTCTTAGGCAGGCAATCAAGTTTGTCACCTCTTCACATAGAATACAGAGGAAGGCCTATATGGGGAAAACTATGTTTTATGGAGGAGTTCATACCAAGAAGAATACTGATCAAAAGTATAAAGATGTTGTCTTTCTCTGCCTGGCTTATTTCACTGACCAGTACCAAATGATTTCCCTCATTTGTGGAGTATAACTCCAAGAAGGGACTAGTGGTTACCAAAGGGGTGGGTTGGGGGTAGAGAGAGGGAGAAGGGGACTGAGGGGTATTATGATTGGCATACATGGTGTTGGGGGGGGGATCATGGGGAACAGTGTAGCACAGAGAAGGCAAATAGGGACTCTGTGGCATCTTACTACACTGATGGGCAGTGACTGCAATGCAGTGTGGGGGAGACTCGATAATATGGGTGAATGTAGTAACCACATTGTTTTTTCCTGTGAAACCTTCATAAGAGTGTATATCAATAATACCTTCATTTAAAAAAAAAGCTTTAAAAAAGTATAAAGAAGTTGATTGCTTTTGACATATTAAGAGTGGTTATAAAACACTGATACTTTATGCAGATATTATCCAGTAAGGCAAGATGACCTTAGTGGAGCTTCCATAAAAGAGTTCAAATTAACTTATCCTGTTATGACTGATGTGGGGCAGAGGAAAGGAGGTATCCTTTGCAATGGTAGAACATAGTCTTTAATTTCAATTTGCATATGGAAAAGCAACTTCATAGCAATGAAGTAATAACACTGTTCTCCCTTTTTAAAAAATTAGTTGCATTCTGGGAGGGTGTGAGAACTTTCTATAAAACATGCATAGCAGACATAAGTGAGATGCTCTATCCTGACCCCATATCCCTGGCCCTTTGTGCCCGTGAAAACGCCAGACCCTTGATGTTTTGGTGTTGAATGAAATCTCAGAGAGCACCTGTCAGCCGCCTCATTTTACAGGTAAGACTAAGTCCAAAGGGCTGTAAAGAGCTCTCCTGAGTACCTGAGTATCAGAGACAGAACTAGAAGAGGGTCTTTAGGACTCAACCTCTAAAACCACAAATAAGTAAATATCGTTCTGTGGAGATCAAAGGGTCCCATGGAAAGGTCACTGCCATCAAAAAGCTTTCAAATACCTCCAGGGTTTGTCCTTGAAGAAATCTAGCAGATAACCTCTGTCAAAAGCTCGTGTTAAACAACCCCCTTACTAAGTAGAGGGTACCCGCTTTCTGAGTTTTTTCTGTTGAAAGGCAAAGAAGGCTTAGTAAAGTTCTCTTGAAAAAAAGAAAGAAAAAGACAGAAAGCTAAACTCACTACCTGCTGTCTCTCTTTCCACAGGATGGTGTTTTTACTGCCAGTATTGAGAAATTCATGGATGATATGTCAGCAGGAAGTAAAAATCACAGCGATGGGGGTGTGTGTTTGCTGCTTCCACACTTTAGTGGCATGATTTTTTGTATGCAAAAAGAAAAAGAAAAGCACCCACATTTTAATTTAGCATGAGCCAATTTACAGAGCATGGAAATTCACTTTCATTCCCAGGACTGGCGTGTATGCAATTAGCAATGCAGTGTATATCCAAGAAGCCATGCTGTTAACAGTTTATCGTAAGTAATTTGGTGTCACTTAAAAAAGGAAGAAATTCCTGCCGCCATAAGTGACAGAAGGAAATGGGACGATCCAATCACAGAGAAACACTAAAATACTAAATCCACAACAGCTCGCCTTATTTTTCTTGGACCCAAACTGTCAGGGTATAAACACTATTTGTTTCTTTTTTAAAACATCTATAGTTTTGCTGTAAATAATAACACTGTATAAATTCTAACAGAAAAATAGAATAAATGTTGATAAGGCACTGCCTCTTAGAACACAAACAGAATATTACAGATGCATTTAACATAATAGGAGTCTCAAGTGACTTCAGCCTAGAAGAGGAAGAAGGGGTTCTGGGTGGGGGTATCTTCACTGATTCTTGTATATTAGCAATTATAATGTTTGTATATGCAAAACTGCTAGCTTGATTTAAAAGAAAAATCTTTAAAATCTGCAAATTTAAAAAATTCCAAAAATGAGGAATTCTGTAGTTCTGTGAAAAAAATTTTTCTTCAGAATACTAATATTTTGATGCATGTGTATCACCTTATTTTGATTAAATCTTTTCCAATTTTGCAAACACTACAGTATACTGCAACACAAAAGATTTTATCTGTAAACACAAAGCCCTTCATCTAATATTTGTTGCTATTGCCAATTTTTCAATGAAATGACCTAAAAAATGAAAGAAAAAAAAAACCTATATGGTAGTTGCTTTAGTGGGGGGGGGGGGTTGCTGTTAGTACTTAAAAGGGGGTAATGCTTGCCGCTTTAGAGGTGGATGGTGCTTATAAGAGGCCCCTGTCCGGGGTGTTTAAAATGGACTGAACAGAAATCCTTAGCTGGTAGAATGGCAGCACGCTGTAAAATTATTACTGTATTGTGTACTGGCTATAAGATGTAGACACCTTTCTGTAAGCCAATCATTTGTAATCATTCTAGCAGTGTCATATTAGGTTAATAAGGCTGCTGTGTTTTAAAGGGCATTTTTTTATTTGGATTTTGGTGAGATTCTTTTACTTGTTCATTATATTCATATAAAATCAGCATTCATTGACACATAACTCTAATGACATATGTATGAAAAACCATACACTGGATGACCTAGTCAATTATTTAAGCATAAAATAAATTGTGTTAAACTCTTCACCTATCTGTGCTTTACAGTGTCCTTGTGTTCTCTGGCAAAAAGGTAAATGTCTAACTCCTTGTTATTTGGCCACATGAGCTCTCACTGTGATTCTGCCTCTGTGGTCACTAAACAGGTGACAGTCCTTAACATTCAGTTCTGCCTCATGAACTCCCAATTTATATAAATTCTGTGTATTTTGTGGAGGAGCCAAGAATTAGGAATTAACTGAGAAGTGATCCTTGCCCACATCAGGTTTAGGCTGACCCCCAGAAGTGGGGACTTGGCACAGACACATGTCCAGGGATTGTCAACAGGCACCTCCAGGAGCCATCCAGCCTGCAGATCCTTTTAGTCCATAAAGCAATTGTTTGTTTTATGGTAGACATTGGAGTTTGCAATCAGATACTACATGATAACACGGGCAAAGACCGTGGCTGTTTTCATTTTCATTCAAGTCCAGAGCCCAGCACAAAGTAGTGGTGATAGTAGCAACCGTCATGACCAGTGCTGACACTATAGTGCTTATTCTACACTAGACTCTGTTTTAAGTACATTACATTTATTAACTCAGTCCTCATAACCACGTTATGAGGTAGGTATTATCTTTGGTAGTAGTCCCTTTAGTAAGCGGGTGCTTAGAGCCATTTGGCTATGTCACATATTGCCTGTTTGTTAAAGATTGCCTAATGGGATGACTTACTCCCAATAAGGATTCAATATCAATGCTGAACACATGTATAATGAATCTACTTTGCATAAACAATGGAGCTAGACTGCATTTGTATGGTATCCCAAGTAAATGGAACATGCCCTATCCCTGCACCAAAGTCATATGATGAGCTAAGACCCCTTAAAAAAAACTTACCTCCAAAACCTCTTTGGAAAACAAGGATCAGAACCCAGGTATCCTAACTTCCCATCTAAGAGTTACTAATTTCTGACTCATAGTCTCGACAAAAGATGTTTATACTGAACTAGTAATTCAATGAATTATCCTTATCTGGGTATTAAATGGTTATGTTTTTACAACTGAAATTTTGACTTTAGGGATATATCATGATGGGCTAAGCTTCAGGTCAAGGAAAAATTCATAAAATTACTTAAAGAGAAGTATCCAAATAGGATAATCAGTATTTTATTTGCATATATGTATATATGTATATGTTTATATATGTATGCATGATTGAATGAGGGTGTACATTATATAATCCTAATACAGTTTTGGCCTTGCTGGCTTATAAAAATGTATTTAAGCTTTTCCTTGATTAACATTGTAAAAGATTTAAAAAAAAAGGAACTGTGATTGATAGATTCCTGATATTTGCTCTGTTTTTCAATTTTATATTCCTACAAAATTCCTGAGTTTGTGGAATTAAAATGTATTATCACTATTGCCAAGTTATGGCGATATACTGTGCAGGGTTATTTCACCATTTTTAAGAAGGATCTATTTCACTGAACACATAAGCAGCCAGCCTTCTTTCCTCTACTAATAAATTCTGCCTTGGCATAATGATGTTCCACTATGTTCATTGTGGTATCATCCTGGGGTTCCATCAAGACTAAGGTTTTCCTCCAGAGTAAATAAACAAACAAACAAAAAAGCTGTTTGCTTGCCTTTATTATTATGAGCATCAGGTCACATTTGGCTGTAGGAATATGTGAGAAGCCCAGAAATATAAATCATAAGAAGGATAACTCATCCCTTAAGTCTAAAGAAGCCAGTTATCCAAAAGCTAACTTCCTGTCTGGGTGAGTTAGTATTCTTGATTTGTTAAAGAGGTCCTGGCATATTAAGAGGTGTATAGTTTCCTAGTCATAAGGCACTGCTTCTCTTCCATGAGTTGATGACAAATAGTCCAGAAGTAACATTGAGTAACATTTCTAACATTGAGATTTGAGCCAAATTTTACAAGAGATCTTTAATAATAGAGATAAAAGACAATGGTATAATTTATTTACATGGTTACCTGGCTAACCATGTGCCAATACAAAATAAATAAATAGCAGTGTGGACTCTGGTGAGTCCTATCCTTGGTAATAGGCCCAAAAGCCTTCACTTATGTAATAGAATTAAATACAGACAGTTCAAAATAGTGCAAAATGAAATTTTATTATGTCTGCTGCATTCAAACTGATAGCAACAAATAATATGTACAACAAGGTGAACCTAGAGTGAAGAAATTCTATTCCTTACCCCATGGTGCTTCTTGAGTTGAGTAAACACCCCAAGTGTTGACATTTCCAAGAGGACATCCTGGGATTCCTCACCAATTCCAAAGGAGTTCTTAGGCAAAGTAGAGATGAACATAGAGGATTCTAAAAACAGTGAGAAGAACCACTAGGCCACAGGAGGTACCCCAGAAGCAAGAACCATTAGGACTTTTTCTCCAGGTCTACCTTAGAACTTCCAGTTGATACCCCAGAAATATAGGTTATCTCCCTGCCTAATTTCCCCCAACAACCTTAATTGCCACTTCTCTTCTGACATCTAACTCAAGCAAGGGAATAATTCTGAGAGCTGGGAAAGATGATTTGCCAGCTTTCAGAAGCATTCCAACATGTGAGGCACAGCACCAGATCCTCATACTACTGTGGGCAGCACCTTTGTTTTGTTCTCTGCTATACACACAATACCTAGAATAATGCCTGACACCTCATATATATATGTAAGCACCCAGTATTTCCTGCATACATGAATCAATCAATCAACAAACAACAGAGGGCAAGGAACAATAAATGGGAACTGTTCCTCTCTGCACCATCTTGTACACCATTTTCTTTCCAGGCTAAACCAAGTTAGAAATACAACTTGAAAAAGCTATATTTGAAAAAAGTGGCTAAGTATAAAAGAAAGTATTAAAGTATAAAAAAATATATAAAAAGTGGCTAAGTTTAAAAGAAAAAGTACTGACAGTTCTTGCTTCTGGGGTACCTCTTGTGGCCTAGTGGTTCTTCTCACTGTTTTTAGAATCCTCTATGTTCATCTCTGCCTAAGAACTCCTTTGGAATTGGTGAGGAATCCCAGGATGTCCTCTTGGAAATGTCAACACTTGGGGTGTTTACTCAACTCAAGAAGCACCACATATAACATGCAAATACAGCAAATATAAAGGAAATCACAGCTTTTGATTCTAATGACTTCAATCACCAAGAGCTAACTTGTGCCACCATACTTAACTGGCTCTTTCCAGTTGCATAATCCCCTTGTTAGCCACAAAGTCTTAAATAACTGTGTTTGAATATACCAAAACCTCATGAGCAAAGAGCACCTCAGTAGCCCTGCTGACATCTTCCCCATGGCCATCAGCTATTATCCTCATCCTCATCACCGACAGGCCACTGAGAAACCAGGCAAGAGTGTAGAGAATCCATCATAAACCCTCATCTCTATGAAACAAATCACCTTAGTCTCCTCTCTTTCAAACATGATATCCAAATTATTTCAGAAGTTTTGACCACCTCAAGATTCACCCTTGGTGTTGCTGTTTGCTAGATTCATAAAGGACCAGAAGATCCAGAAATTATACCCTCGAAGCCCCTGGACCAAATTCAGCCTGCAGAAATACTTTGTTTGAACCATATACAGTTTGAAGAAAGATAGCCAACACATTTTTTTTTAGTCAGAAGATCTTAGAAGAAAAATGGATTGTGAATTCTCTTTAAATCTGAAGACATTACAATACTGTTTCTGAAACTCCTTATGACAACCAACTGGAGCAAAACAACATATACATGACACCTGTGGACAAGTGTGTGCTTTATCATTCACCACAGTCCCTCCTTTCCCTCTGGCCTGTAGAACCCAATCTACTTTATTTATTTCTATTCCCAGTCTCTGATCCGACTAGGAAGAAGGAGAAGGCAAACTAATATGATCCTGCTTAAATTCTCACTTCTTTTTGGTAAGAAAACAGTTATGGCAAAAAGGGGGGAGAAAGCAGTGTGAGAACTGAGGCAGAAACCTCCTCTCAAAAACATATATAACATGCAAATACAGCAAATATAAATAATCCTGAAAGAGCAATCCAAAGACTGCAAAACAGATTGCCTACATCTGGGGAAAAGAGAAGACTTCACAGAAAAGGGTAAAGTAGCAACGCAATGATCCAGTGAGACCCAAGCCCTCCCCCAACGCCAGCTCACAGGAGGGAGGAAGAGAAATGGAGCAGGGAGGGAGTAGAAGCCCATGACTGCTAAATACCCACCTCTGGAGATCTCTGTAAGCACAAACCCACATTACATGGTGCTCTGGAGATTAGTGGGGTTGGAAACAAAGTCAGGCAGAATACTTGGAGAGACTGAGATTCCAGCCACTTGAGAATGGGTATCCACAACTGGCCCCCCAGGACAAAAAAAGGGTGGGCACTTTGAAAGACTTCCCAACAGCACAAAGGGTGCTAAAGGGGCAAAGATGACACAGTTTGGTGCTTAGGAGAAAGGACAGGTGGGCAGAATTGTCCCAGCACACTCATCCTAAAAGGTTGGAAACTTTTAGGAGCTTCAGGCGCTCCATCCCCATGGCTAGCAATAGAGCCCAGTGGGCGCTCTGCAATACACAGCCTGCTGCTCCTTGTTCCTGGAAAGCACCAGTCCACATACCTGCTGCACCCACATCACACCAGGTCAGCTGGAGGGTGGCCCTGCCTAAGGCAGCTACAGAGGCATAATGGAGAGGCTCCTCCCTGTATGCACAGCACACTGGACCTGGCAGTGGAGGCAGGCACTGCAGCCAGTAAACAGGAAAGAGCTCGTTCCTCCTGGAAGGCACTGGTGTCGCTCGACTGGGTGACCCCCGCCATTGTTCCAGGTGCTCCATAGTTCCAGAGAGTAGAGCTTCTGGGTACTAGAGGGTTTTGCCTACACAAATTTATTATTCCGCAGGAATCACTAAAATGAAACAGCAAAAAAATGTTGTACACACAGAATTCAAAGGCCAGAAGGAGGGCAAAGTGAAACCTATCTTCTAGATAAAGATTTAAAAATAAAAATCATAACCATGATCACAGAGGCACAGAAAA